AAACGCTCTTTGATTGTAGTGCTAATTAGTGAAGGTTAAGAAATTGAAGTAAAACAAACTGTTTTTAAATTTAGATTATTACATCCCAAAATCCATGCATGAAATGTACTGAGTGGTCATAAAGGGGACTTTTATAGAACATATACATAGAACAATGTATATTAGTCATCATGTTTAGTGACACTTCTCTGAAAATCCACACTTATTACTCATTCAGGGCCAGTGCACTGTGATTAAACTGGCCCTGAATGAGTTTCTGCTATGGTTGGTGTACGTCACATGAAAAATGTTGTTTACAGCAAAGCGGTCCTGTTGAATATTCGTCGTTATGTGAGCCTGCAGTACATCAAAGGAGTGTAGGTGTAACTGGTGCAGTGGGTTTAAAGTCAGGAGGGGAACGGAGGCTTTGTGTTGAGTGTGGGAGTCTACAGTGTATTAATGATTAAGGATTTATACGTTCTCTGTCTGTGTTACTCTTACATGTACTGGTGGTTCGTGTGTGAGGGCAGCGGCACCTTTTCCTCTGCTCGAGGGGCCTCCTTTCCTAAAAATCGCTAACGTTTCCTCACATTCTGGTGGTTTTAACTCCTCTTCTGCTGTTTGGTGGCAATTAGCTTTGATGTTTAGGTGTAGCTTTAAGAGGCAGGTGTATAAAATAGACAGAAAATGCTGCTAACTGACAACACCCTGATGCAGGTGGATGAATTGTACAGCCACATAAAAGCAGATGAGCAGGTAATCAAAGTGTGCAGGCAAACAGACGGGCCTGCCTCCAGATGGATTCGCCAGAATGGAGCGAAATTATGCCAAGAATGAAATGGCTGACTACTGTAGTCACCGAAAACAAAACTCCTCTTCATCGAATCAAGTGAAACTCGAGATGCAAGTCTTTGAGTTCTTTGTTTGGTTATTGCCATAAAAAATGTTTAGACCCATAGATTTTCTCTTTGCCTGTAAACTGATCAATTAATTGGTCTTTTACCTGCTGCTTTGGCTAATATACTACCAAATCTGGGAAATTAAGGGTTGTAATATTAGAATGTTTTCCCACACTCGTTTTTAATTAACATCTGGCTGACTAACAATATACCAAAATTTAAAAAAAAATACATTTTTAAATGCCATGCTAACAACACCAGTCTATCCATTCCAAATTACAATAACTGATTGGATTTCCTACTTGATTTGTCAACAGCTACAGGTTCATGTTAGCTGCTCACATGACTCGAGTCTCAGGTGTTTTAAAAGGTTTGGTTTTGTCTTCATATTTTTCTTCAAGAAGGCTATGCATTTTTTTAATTTAGTTTTATTTACAGATTAGTTTAATATCCTAATGAGGTAAAGTCTTTATATGTCATTTATGTTCCTCTTAGAATTTGTGTTTTTTTTTTTTTTATGTCTGAATATTCATTTTTTCTTTTTCAAAACTAAATCAAGAGAGTTGCCACTTTAATTTAGGTGCATACACGATTACTGAGCAGGTTAGTTGGTACTGCATGCCCACTGGAGCTGTATTCCCTCATTGGATTTTGTTGCGGTCTAATGAGTTGGCTGTACTCAAGTGTTTTGGGGGCTTTACAATCACATTTGATCTCGGCAAATCCTTTCTCATCTCAGAGAAGCGAAAATGCACGATGGGACGCTTTGCCGGTAATCTGGCGTCGACAGAGACGCTGCTTTGCCTTAATGTAGGATGAACCTTTATATTTGCGTAATGGGCCTTATCGGGAGTGTCATGCTCTCAATCAAGCTCATCATTTGGTTTACCGTGCGTGATTTGGATTTTAGCAGGTAAAATGTTTGATGGCTATCATGCTCGGGATGTTTTTAGCCATGTTTGTTTATGGAAACAAATCGGTTCCTCTCGTGAATATGTTGTTTGTGTGCAGTGAAATGGAATTATAATTCACAGAGGATTCACATCTTACAGAAGCTCAAAAGGGTTTAAAGGAGGATAAGTAAAACATGCTGTGTGACAACCAATTTTCATATTACTGCTAAGGCTAAAAGGATTTTGTGTGAGCAGATTGTGTGGGTGTTCTTTTTTTCTTTTTTTTTCTTTTTTTAGTTTCCGATTTGACTCGGGACCCAAACGGTGTGTGGCTTTACTGTGCATTCACTGTGCTTATCCATCGCCAGGTTTGCCACCTGTATTGAAATGGGAGACTGCACAGAATAACATTTCAGCAGCATGGTTGACACTAATAAGATGTGTTATGCTACAGTTTAAATGTTCAAAACAGGGAAAATGCATAAAGTTGCAGTCAAAAATGGATTTTTGTGCTTGTGGTGCCATACCTCCTTTATTGTTAGTGATTGGCTGAATCTACTTGTGTTTCCCCTGTCACAGTTTTTTTGTAATATTACAAACCTTTTTACAGAAATGCTTGAATGTTGTTTAAATAAAAAGAATTTTAAAAATTCTTCAGAAAATTACAATCACTGGTGTGAAAAAGTAGCAAATGTCCAAAGAAAAACTTTGAACTATTGCTCAAGAGCACTTTAAAAGGTTGCAAGAAACTCTGGCTCCTTGGAAGCAGAAGAGGGCTGGCTCAATTGAAGGACTGGAGCGATTCCAGATATTTCATCCACTGAAAACCTTTACTGAATACATATGAAGTGAATGATATGAAGAAAGTAGTGCTGCCAGCTAATGTCGTTAAAATGACATTAATGACATCAGGGGCTGCACAGCGCTAACGTATTAACGAGCTTAAGCGCGCTGACGTCGTGAAGCACTCGCATGGGGCGATCCGCGTTAACTCGCTAACAGAGATTTGCCGCGTTAATGCGGTTATGGCGTTAACGTCATTTTAACGAGATTAACGCTGACCGCACTAGAAGAAAGAGAAACTTTTGAAATTCCATATCAAGCAGCTTAAATCCCATCACGTCAGTATAGGAATCGTTGTTCTTATGGATGCAGGTTGGTGGGAAACATGGCCATATTCCAGATCAAGATTTTAAATTATAAGCAAATCATTGGTTCCATTATTATTGTGATCGCAGCATTCCCAACTTTTTTGGAAATGGGGTTAATGTTTATCTTTTCCTCCTGTTCATCTTTCTCCACTAATGGCTGATGATTACATTTCTGAAATTCTGTAAAGTTTGTTTCTTGGCAAAAAGATAGAAAGCACTGTAAGCTTAGCAGATAAAGGGAATATAAAAAAAGACCCCAAAACAATCATGACCGTGACTCTGAAACAGATGCTGCTGATGCTTCACGCAGCGATGCAGAATTTGTAGTATTCCAGAAATCTGTTCATATACGTGTAAATCACCCTCAGCCCTGACAGGGTTCCCACAAGCTCACCTTGTTGGTTTTTTCATAGCTGATAACTGGTCTTTTAAGACAGATGTTTTCATATTGTTGGTTAGCGGGCGATCACCAGAATAGCAGCTCATATCTATTTTAGGATGGTGTTTTTGCTAGTGTCATGATCTGACACTCTTATATTTTGAGTAGGAGCCAGTTGTTAGCAGTTGAAGTGTTTGGATTGGCTCCAGGAACTATCAGCAGGAGGTTTGGGAAAAGGCTTGACTGACTAAGACGGAATACACAGCAATAAGGAATGTACAGGCTTGAAAGTCTGCGTAAATGGTTTGTTAATAGAACATTTTAACAAGTGCTAAACTGAGACACAACACATATTAACATAATGGATTTTTTTTTTTTTTTTACCCAACTTGAGATGCATATCTGAAAAATGCCTGGCTGTGTTATTACCGGCTTCAGAATACCACGGTGACATGTCAACATGGTGCAAGACGAACGCTCCAATCCTTTGTGCGAGTTAATCTCACATAGGAACCAGATTTTGAGAGTCTGAGTCAGGGTTAGAGGCCAGCGGAGCAGAGGGGAAGCTGCCTGTGTACTTCAGCTATGGCCCAGGCTAACCTCTGACCTTTGACTCTCCTGTGCCACAGGGTATTCCTATGTTCTCATTGGTGACAGACAGGATGTGCTCTGTCAGCGAGGTCACGGCTCTTTTCTCCCTTTTCTCCGTTTTAGTTGTGAATCGCAGCAGTGTTGAATCTGAAAGTGTACGAGCATCCTCCTCCTCCTCGTGCATTTCTAATGACATAAAACTGTCTAAGATGGATTAAAATTGCACGTTACACGCTGAAAACTATTGTTAAAGCAAGCATTTTTATAGCATCTAAGATAAAAATGCAGCAGTGTGTGAGAGGACTTTCATTATTTCATCTCAGTATTGTCTTTCTTTTCTTTTCTTTTTTAAAAAAAAAATGAATGGACAGATGATTGACAGCGTGTGTTTTCTTACACTGTTGGTTTGCGTGTTGCAAGAGAACATCAAGCATTCTGTTATTTCAACAATGTAGGACTCATGTTGACTTTATCTTAGATAAGTTGGAAATTGCTCTGTTTCCTTTCTGAAGAAGGAAATTTCATGCAGGCTTTTCTTGCTGCTCCCACCCCCCCAATTGGCAAAGAAACATCAACGACTTAAGCGGGTTTTACCCACCTAGTATGAAAACAATTGTAGAGAGCTGCCTCTCTGCTTCCAGTTGTTGTTGTTGCTGCTTTTCTGCTTTAGTTTTAAATCTTTCACAGAGAAGAGACTTTTTCTTTGTCACCAGCAGGGACCAGATGGGCCATTTTCAAAAAGTGATAAATTTGTTAGCTCCTTTTTGTTTTATGAAGCATGAAAATTTCATTGTTTATGATGGTGCAAGGAGATGTTTTCCTTAAGTATGTGTTATGAAAGAGTGATATACTACAAGAGCTTAGGTTATGCATTTTCCCGTGCATGAAGCACCACAGTGGTGCCACACTGGATATATTAGAAATATTAGAATATAAAAACAGCATAGAGAGATTTGTGTTTCAGAGACCCTCCCCTCCAAAACAACTGAAGGGGCATTCTTCTTCTTCACCATCTGGCTCTTTTATCCTGTTCAACGAGTTTCTTCCCTCTGCTCAAATTTGAGACTCGCGCCTTGTTAATAAACTCAACCTCTTTGATTTTTGCCAGGTGTAGCTGCAGCGCTCGCCCGCACCGCCTGGCAAGATGGTGGCGTTGTCACTGAAAATCTGCGTGCGGCAATGCAACGTTGTGAAGACGATGCAGTTTGAGCCCTCCACAGCTGTCTATGATGCCTGCAGGATCATCAGAGAGAGGGTCCCAGAGGCTCAAACTGGACAGGGTGAGAATTAACTCTACTTGGTTGCAAAAACTTGGTTTTCTTTGTAAAGACAAAGAGAGAAGTATAAACTTTACTGGCTGTGGTGAAGACTTTTGCAGCAAAAAGCAATATGATGGAAATGTGGCTTAGATAATATTTGATTTACAAAATGTAGAGACGTTAAAGTCTCATTTGGTAGGTTTATATGTCATTTACACTGCTTTAAATTGGATTGCAGTCAATAAACTAATGCTTGGATTAGATTATGTCACAATTTTGGCTGCTTTGCTTCTGATTAAGTCAGTGGGTCTCAAACTTCTTCAGACATGAACCTTCTTTCAGACCCTCCCTCCCTCCCCCCCCAAAAAACACAACAACTTGTTTTTGTGTATCAATCACTGATTCAAGTTGACATCCAGCGATTGAAATGTCAATATGACAATTAAATCGTGTTTAATTTGCTTTACATAAATCACATTCGTGTTAAAATTAATTTCATTGGCTCTTTACTCTGCAAAGTTAGTCTCACAGTTTAAGAACCACTGAATTAAGCAACCATGGAATCTGAAATTTTTGCCATTACTTCCATGACCCCAATGCTAGCTTTCCATTTTACACAAGTAGCAGGTCTGACTTATCTGTTCCATTCAGCAGCACCAAAGTCATCATCCCTCTTTTGATTTTCCATGTTTACAGACTTGCCTTGCGCTCTTATGACCATTGTTACAGAACATGTGGTGAATGCTGTCATAGAGGGGTCATTATAGAGTTGATGTCATTTAATCTGATCCTGGCCTAGGGAGTCATTTTCAGTTCTTTAATGTCTAAAGTAGAGTTGTTTCTTCTCACTGCTACAGCTTCAGACTATGGCCTGTTTCTTTCGGATGAAGACCCCAGAAAAGGCATCTGGTTGGAATCTGGAAGGACACTGGATTACTACATGCTCCGCAATGGGGTAAATAAATGTAACCGTGAATTATGGATAACTGGCATCATGGGGGCGACACACGCACACGCACACACACACACACACACACACACGCACGCACGCATGTGAATAACGCTGTGTCATAAACAGCATAAACTGATGCTTGGTGGTCCCAGCGTCTCACACATTTTCTAATCATTGGAGGTAGCAAAATTACAAACACTCTTCACTTAAGTAGAGGTACAGATACTTGTGTTTTAAAAAAAAATAATTAAAAAAATACAGTTGTAAAAGTTGGAAGTACTGGTTTAACTCAAATAAATAAAAGGCTAACTGAACTTCCTGCCATAATAACACCATACTAATATAAAAAATAATATTAATACAAAGGAATGTGAATCTCATTTCAACCTAAATTCGAATTCTAATGAATTTATTCAGCTTGAACATCTGTTAAGTAGAACTGAAGCGGAGAAAAACTCTCTTTGCCTTTGCCTGCATTATAGATGAGTGACTTTGCCACCACACCTGAGCAAATATACGCAGATATTATATGAGTTATCATGGCTGATTTCCCATAAAGGTGGAATTTAGTGAGTGAATCTAATCAGCATCATCAACTTAAATATAATTTACCCTCAATGGAACATAACATTGACTATGAACAGCACAGCTTTGCTGCACCAATCCAACATGGTGTATTACTGCAAACAGATCAGTGAAACCTTTGCACTTTAATTTGATTTGCAGAATATTTCACAATATGAAAAAAGCAAGATTATTCTATAAATCCCATATGTGTTTAAAAGGCTTTAAATTTCCACATTATCAAATGTCCTGGAGTAGCTGCCTTCTCCCTCTGCTGTCCGGCTTTATATCTTTCCATCTCTTTGTAAAGTTAGAGCTCATTCTTTTCCCTTCCTGGGAAATACGGCAGCTGAACATTTAGTTAGCAGACACACTGTGTGACAAACTACAGACCAGCACTTTGTGTGTTTGCTGATATTTGGTGAGCTGCCAGAAATCTGAAATTACCCGTCACTTAAAAGAAAAAGAGTTTACTCCCTTCATGCGCACTCCTCTTCCGCAGTGCTAGTTAGAATCAGAAGTATTGCGACCATAACCCCTGAGTGTAGTACAATAAGTCATATCATTTTGTGTATTTTTTATGTATTTTTTCTTCCTGTTTTTTGTCTTTTTCACCCTCCCCTTTAAGTGCGTAACCATCGATTGATCCACCAGTATATTGTCTAGTTTTGTTTAAATGTGTGTAATGGCAGGAAATATCTCCCCTCAGATGTTACCTACTGTAATGTAACAAGCCTGTTTTCAAAATATAAGAAGTACAAAGTTAGAGGTACTTGTTTTATAATGTAGGAAGGACAAAATAATTCTACTTAAATACAATTTCAAAGTCTTGATACTTTGTTACTTCCCGCCTCTGCTAACAATACTTCTGTTACCTGGCATTAAGACTGGGAGTGGGAGTTAAAGCCTTGCAGTGTTGAATATATCAGCAAAATGCTTCATTGTTTGAGCGTATTTAAACATTTTATCTGATTTAAAAAAACAAAACAAAACATTTTCGATCGACATAAATTCACTAAAGAGAAATTGAAACAGCTGCCAAAAATCTCATTCAGACACACATCATGCACAGGAAGACAAAACAAAGAAGCACCCCGAGAAAATAAAAGCATAAGCTAAAACTGGGAACCAAGACACTGAGAACATCGAAAGAAGATTTTAAAAGCGATCCTTAAAGAAGTGCTATAGCCAGCTTTAGATCGCTTGCCAGCTTGTTTCAGAGGCTCTGATTCTCACTGCCAAAGGCCTGATACACTCTGGTGTTCTATTTAACTGCATATCACAGCCCCTCGGTACATTTGTGCTTGTGGTTTTGCAGCTCTAAATGGTTTCTCCTCTTTAAATCTACCAAAGGCAACCCAGGTAGAAGGCATGACTGTGACCAATTATTCTGAACCAAATCTCGTCTCATTGTTGAGATTGGAGGGGAGCAGCAGGCTGTGATAGGCAGCCGTTAAATACGGTTTTCTGGCCTTTATTCTCCCCTCTCTCTACGCAACCTGGATGCTTGTGATCTTTTTCTAAGTAGTTCCTTTGACTCTCTCTCTCTCCCTTCATTCTTCTTTCTTCATTTTACTCACATTTTCCCCCTCTCTCTACCTTTTTTGTTTTCAACCAGGATATTCTTGAATACAAGAAGAAGCAAAGACCACAGAAAATTAAAATGCTGGATGGGGCTGTCAAAACTATCATGGTGGACGACTCCAAAACAGTGGGAGAGCTGCTTGTGACTATATGCAGTAGAATAGGTACATCATATCTTTGTTTTCTTGTGCTGCCAATCCTCTCTGTGTTACAAATCTGTTGAATCTGTGCTGAACCTTTATGGACACACACACAAGAAAAGAATAATCTTTCCATGTGAAATCCTTTTCCTCCTATCTCTGATGGGAATCCTTTCTTTCCCCAGGCATTACAAACTACGAGGAATACTCTCTGATCCAGGAGACGGTGGAGGAGAAGAAGGAGGATGGCATGGGTACCCTGAAGAAAGACAGAACACTTTTGCGAGACGAGAGGAAGATGGAAAAGCTGAAAGCCAAGCTTCACACAGACGATGACTGTGAGTTCAAGAAAGAAAATGAAAACACAAGTTTTCCCTATTTTTTTTTAAAGTGAAGTCTTTTACCAGAAACATGTTATATATGGAAAGCGGCAGTTTAGTAGCCCACGTTCACAGCTCTCTGCGATATCTACCAGCTTTCACTGGAATGTGGGAGTACTAAATCTAAACTCCTGATCCCAGGTCAAAACATCTCACTTCCTGCCTATATTGCATCCAAGATAGGAATGCAGCTGTTATTCTGTGCCTGTGTGCAAAATCACTGCTTCCTTCCCTTTTTACTCCCTCACATATAGCAGAAGATTAAAGCCTTACTCTGTAATAAAGGTGAGCCTCACCTGGGAAGGACTGAATAGAGACAGGAAAGATGGACTTGCTTGTATTTCAAGAATAAGGGGATGTAGATTAGTCTGGTTGGGACCATAGTCTGTTTAATTTATGGTAATTATAGTTGATGTCAAATCCAAATAAATGTCCATAAATTCACTTTGCAGCATTTGTTGTCCCATAAGCTTATAATGTATATAAAACAAAGATGGAGCCACCATGAACAGCAGGTTTGAAGTCCCATCTTTAAACCTCAATTTAGCATTTTAGCCGTCTTAGCTTTCAGAAGCCAAAAGTTACGGTATTTGGAGGAATATGCAGCCCTACCAAACCTGGGTGGCAAGGTGGATCCATAGCCACAGATACCTGTTTATTAGTGCTAAGTAACATATAGGTAAATAGTTAAACTGGCTTGTAGTACAGTTAACTGCAAAGTGAGCCTCCAGCACTGCAAACACTGTTATGAGTTTAGCTACAGCGTAGCAGACAGCAGCTGCCTGTTTCAGCACCCACCTGCCACTTAAAGCAGCCACGCCCCTAACACTGCAGAACTTTTATGCTTTCGCACAATTTAAACAGTTGAGTTATAAAAAAGGGCCACGTGCCACAAATGAGGAAATTTGCTACAGAGATGACAGGTGGCCCTTTTTTTTCTTAATTGGGCAAAATGTATTTACATTTGCTTTTTCCAGCCACGAATGTGAAGATGCAATTTGGTGTTTATCAAAAACAAATACTCGTAAAAAAAATTTAATAAATAAACCACACACACAAAACAAACTTGCTATTGTATATGGTAAACATTAAATAAAGATAATAGACCTATGCCTCTTTAACAAGAGATTTCTATGAACTTGTTATTTTTTAATTTTTTTAGTGAACTGGCTGGACCATAGCAGAACATTCAGGGAGCAGGGAGTGGACGAGAACGAGACTCTTCTCCTGAGACGCAAGTTCTTCTACTCTGACCAGAATGTAGACTCCAGAGACCCAGTTCAACTCAACCTGCTTTACGTACAGGTCTGGAACTTACTTTTAAATATGTCTTCCTCTCATTTTTCATTTCAGCAGTTCATGACTGTTGAAGCAGCAGTTTGCCAGTGTCAAAAACAGACACTCGGATAAGAGTGTCTCTCCTCTCCTGAGTAAAACAGGATGTGAGCAGACGATATGCAGTAAAATCCATTTTTCTCTTGTCTCCTAATGGTGACAAGCAGCTACAAAATGTGCACACGGCTGGCTTTTTTTGATCAATTAAGAATTATGCAAGTCTAGAAAACAGATACAGTGGAAAATAAAGTCATAAACTTGATGTCTACAGTTAATTACTGACCGTTTTAATTTGTCTTTTAGGCTCGAGATGATATCCTGAACGGTTCCCACCCGGTCTCGTTTGATAAGGCCTGCGAGTTTGGAGGGATTCAGGCCCAGATCCAGTTTGGACCTCACATAGAGCATAAACACAAACCCGGATTCTTGGAGTAAGCATCTGTGTCATGACGTCTGTGGAAAAACTTGTAAAATATTAGGGTTTTTTTTTCTTTTTGTCAGAAATAAACAGAAAAGGAAACAACAAAAGGAGAGTTCAGACTTTTTTCACAAGTTTCAGCTTCTTATTTTTCCTTTCTTTTCTAGCCTGAAAGAGTTTCTACCCAAAGAGTACATAAAGCAGAGAGGAGCTGAAAAGAAAATATTCCAGGTGTGTTCGTGTTGTCCCTTTTGATAAATGTACACATTGGTGCACAAGCGTGAAACGGGGGGATTTTCAGTGTTCTGAAAATCAATACATGAAAAATCTGACCTGCAGGAGCACAAGAACTGTGGCGAGATGACCGAGATTGAGGCAAAAGTAAAGTATGTCAAATTGGCGCGGTCTCTGCGGACATACGGCGTCTCCTTCTTCCTCGTCAAGGTAAGTTTTTAAAATCATCCATTTGTCCTTTTACCAAATGTTTGAAGTACCAATGCCCTATTTTATTCCTTCAAAAAGTAAAAATATAGCCTCAAGTTCTCTACTTGCCTTTTTATTTTTTTATTTATTGTAATAGGAAGCAGATTTTGGAATTAGCCGAACTGTAGTCGGAGCCTTTTATCTTCACAGCATGAAATCTGTCCTCTGGGTTTGGTGCTAACTGGATAAAGAGGCTGATGGTGGACTCCGCTTGTATAAACTGTCTGCTCCTATTTGAACTCTCGCAGCTCGTTATGTCACCTTAAACTAAGCAGAGTACCTGTTGCAAAAAACCAAAATTTCAAGATGAAAGAATGCGCTGCGTGCAAAAGCAAGAACCCTTTTGTGATTTGTTTGCCATGCATTTTCCCCTTGCACACCTCTCTCGCTAACACACATACAAACACACACTGGCAGCACCTCCTCTGCAGGGAGTTCAGTGTGTTCCTGGAAGGAAACCAAATGTTGTCTGTGCAGCCGAGTGTGGCACTAAGATTATTTCAGAGTGAGTAGGGAGGAAGTGGAGTGAATGAGATATACAAGGAGACATTGCACAGGTAAACCAGCGATACTGAATCTCTTGAAGAAGTCCAGCTGCCAACAGATACGAGCTGATGGGAGCAATTTGCAGACTTCCAAATGCAGTACCTATAAAACTGTTCTGACAAGAGTATCAGAGTGACTTTTCCCCCCACGTAATTAGTCACAAAGAGGACATCCTGCAATGGAAATCTCCATTTGCATCATTTGTTCCTGTCAGCTTCGCTGCGCTCTAGTAGAAAATTGGATATTTCCTGGTATTACTGGGACAAGTCACTTGCGCTTTTCATTAATAGCTTTCATCACAAAAGGATAAAGAGCAAAAATGTATCTTGTTTTTTTTGTTTTTTGAAAAGGAAAAACAAAAAAACACTGTGTTGTAGGGCTGTGCGATATGACCAAAATCTCATATCCCGATGTAAGAATTCTATCATCCCGATAACGATATAAATCACAAAAATGTAACATTTTCTGTAAATTCTGTGAATCTCGGACAGCTCGACTTGCGGGAAGTGTTTCCAGCTGCGTGTCATGTAGCTGCAGTCGAGTGCTTTAACACATGCATGAAACTATACATTTTTAGACATAAGTTGTAACGGCCGTTTTCTTTGTGACGTTTTTTTTTTTTTTTTACTTCTCATCCGTAAATAATCTGCTCTTTCACGTGATTCAGTTTATTTTGAAAAGTCTCAACAGGATATTGAGCTTCATTGTGAAAGGTCTATGTGGAACATAAACAAGCGGACACGCGGTGGTTTTACCGTCCTTGTTGCTAACCAAAATGCATAAAAACAGGTGCTTGTGTGGTTATATTAAATATAAGAGAAAGAGAGAACTTTAAGAAATTAATATAGCCACTACAGTGACCATCAAAACGATGAAAAAATGTTGCTGTAAACAGTTCATTTTGCGACACCACGAAACAAACGTTTTTATATCGTCATCTGATATATATTGTTATATTGAACAGCCTTACTGTGTTGTATTGGTTCAATAGCTTTTAGCGAGTGGCTTGTGTATTCCTTTATTCTATACATAAAAATATAGATAGCCATTATATCTGCTCACCTTTTGTTGTCTGTCATCATTAAGGTTAATTTTACGGAGCAGAAACATTTTAAAAACAACCGTGGGGGGGGGAAAAAAAATCCGCCGATAGTCTCTAACCTATAACCTGCAGAGGCCCCAGTGAGTTTACAGGCCCCTCAGGATTTTTGCACAATTTACCTCTTTGCCCCTCGTGTCACAGTCCATCACTTTGTGTCTCTTCTCTAACTGCAGCTCCCGAACAAATGTTTGCTCTTTCCATCGAAGAGAAAAAAAAGGGGGGGAGGAATGTAATGCTTCATGGCTTAGGAAGCAACTTAAGTATAACATTAAAGGTTTAGTGAATACAGGAGATCTAGCAGGAGGTTGAAAGATGTTGACAGGCAGATAAAGACAAGATTTAAGATGCAACATTTTAATTGCTAACTGGGAAAAGTTAACGTTTCCCCCCCACTGGTTGAACAGATAAGTACCCATCTTGACATATCATTGTGACAGAAAAATTAGACCTTTGTGCTGAGAGGAAGATAAATTTACATGATTTGCTTAACTTGTTAATCTGCCCTGTGCTTCAAATGTCTCTGATCGCACTTTATACCCTCAGTTATATTTTGTGGTTTTTGACAGTGTTGTAAAGTTTACATGGTTCAAATTTGTTTTTGCAGGAAAAGATGAAGAGCAAGAATAAACTGGTGCCGCGGCTTTTGGGTATCACAAAAGAGTCTGTGATGAGAGTGGATGAGAAGACCAAAGATGTAGTTCAAGAGTGGCCACTTACCACTGTGAAGAGGTGGGCAGCATCACCCAAGAGCTTCACCTTGGTAAGAGCCACATTTTCTACCTTTAAGCCTAAGACTTGTAGCACATTTATTACAGAAAGCAGGAGCTCTGAATACTTCATGATATGCTGGCTCTGTTGGGGGGTGTGTTTTATCTTTTATTCATTCTGTTTGCACTGAGCATCTTGTCGCTAATGCTAAATAAGAGTGACAGGCTCACGGTAAACCCAACGATTCCTGCGGTGCAAACAATCACTGTTACGCTCAGCCTGCATGGCTTTTTTTGGCCCTGGTGCACTTCAGATATTGAACAGACTTTTTTCTTTTTTTTTGTCAGTGTCAAAATCCCTTCTTTGTGTCAGCAACATGGGTCTAATCTTGCAGGTCTGGAAGACGCAACATCTTAATTAAATTAACCCAGCCTCTTTCCTGCTGTTAATTCGGCAGAGTGCTCTGCCGTTTAGTCCGCGTGTTTTTCGTGACGCTGTGATTTCAGGTTTGATTTGCAGCTTTCGGAAGATGTCATGGTGGAAAGGTTTAGCATTTTAAGTGCGCGAGTGTAAAGAACTCTTTATTTTACTTAGTCCTTTTTTTAAACAATACATGTGGAAGTAACCTTTGCAATGCTCCACTGAAAGAAATCTTCAGTGTCCTGTAAAACGTCTACCCCAAGATTGCTGTTGGTTTAATCCAATTCTCTGTATGTTGCAGCTTTTTGATGTCAACCAGTGTTCTAATCCTTGCAGTAAATCCTTAGCCTGCACAGCGCACTCTGCAGTGGTTACTTTCCTTACAATCCACAATGAAGTGTGTGTGTGTGTGTGTGTGTAGGACTTTGGGGAGTACCAAGAGAGCTACTACTCTGTACAGACCACTGAAGGGGAACAGATCTCCCAGCTCATTGCCGGTTACATCGACATCATTCTCAAAAAGGTGAGACATTTATCTCTGGAGATGCTGATGAATCCTCGCGAATCAATATCTTCCTGTGACAAATGAATTCTCACATCTGTTGATACTAGACACAGCCCAGCCACTGTGTCATACAGCTCCATTTAAATAAAAAAGAAGCACATGTGGAAAGGCTCATGTGGCACCGGTATACAGCAGGAGCTGGTAATAAAGCTTAGAGTGAACAGCTGAGGTTCCATGGTTAACACAATTACCTATCACTATTATAGGCATTAGAATTGTCGTCCCCTCCTTTTTCTGGGGGTTAGAATACCATCCATCACAGGTGTGTTCAAGGTTTAGTTGTATTCTACTCTGAATGACCTAATTTGTCATGAACCTGTGCAAGTGTGCAATTCTGTGTCACTCAAATTTTTGTTCTGTTATTTTGTTTCCTGCAGAAGCAAAGCAAGGATCGCTTTGGATTAGAAGGTGACGAGGAGTCAACAATGCTCGAGGAGTCTGTATCCCCGAAAAAGTATGTGCATTCCTGCTGAACAAAAGTGGCAATGTAGCCTCTGTTTAGCATAAATCAGCAGTCTTTATTTAAGCCCAGTTGTATTCAAATATATGTTGAGTATAAACGGTCGTATGATGATGCTTTGACTGTGAGCACAATAGCACGGTACAAGGCGTTCTCATATTATTTGAACAAAGCACAAGATTAAGTCTTTCTTTATTTCCGTCTCTCTGCCGCCTGTGACCACAGCTCAGACATCCATCTCGCAGAACCTCACTTCCTTATCCTGAAAGATAATCATTATGTGAGGAAATTTTGCTGCACCGGACAGGCAAAGGCTCTGTCTGAACATTTCCTTATTAGATGTATATTAGCTCACCGAGCCACAGTGGACTCTCGGCGTGTAACTGAAGTCCTTTTCCTTTCATGCCTCAGTTGATATTGCTTTCCTGTTTTCAACCGAGAGAGTATTTGTTGCAATTGTTATTGTATTTTTTTTCTCCTCCTTCGCCCGCTTTTATCCAGACTTGTTCACTGGCTGTAGGCAATCGTCTTTAATATTACAAAGACATAGTAAGCCAAACTCTGGAAGGCCTTATCTGCAGAAAAACAAAACAAACCTTTGTCTGCCAGATGTACACATTGCAAAGACTTTTCAGTATCTTTCTGCTTTGTGCACAGTCACAAATGCACGTATGAGAAGACGAATGTTTTACATGCATCATATTTGCAGGTCCACCATCCTTCAGCAGCAGTTTAACCGTATGGGCCGGGTGGAGCACGGCTCTGTGGCGCTGCCAGGGGTGATCCGCTCTGGCTCAATCGGCGCAGAATCACTTAGCATGGGTACCATGCCATCCCCTCAGCAGCAGATCACAATGGGTCAGATGCACCGTGGACACATGCCACCACTGGTAATGATGCCTGTAAAGTTTTCTTCCCTGTTAAAGCCGCACGTGTAAGAGGTGGTTGTAGCGATGCTGCTGCACACATTAACTAGTGAATTTAAGAATCAGTCTAATATTCGCAGTGTAAGGTGACATGTTTTTATCTTTATGTGCAGAGCTCAGCACAACAAGCTCTGATGGGAACCATCAACACCAGCATGCAAGCTGTGCAGAAAGCCCAGATAGACCTGGGGGAGGTGGACAACCTTCCACCACTGGGACAAGACATGGTACCCTGCATTGCACTTGAACTCTAATATATATGCTGATATTGTAATAGTAGTAATATGTCTATGAGATGTGTTATTGAAAATCATGTTTGTAGTATTTTTACATGTGTCAGTGATGATTTGTGGTCTCTGTTTAGGCATCTAAGGTGTGGATCCAAAACAAGATGGATGAGTCAAAACACGAGATCCACTCCCAAGTCGACGCCATCACTGCAGGAACAGCCTCTGTTGTCAACCTCACGGCTGGTCAGTGGCTCTGGCAGGAGTCAGCACAATCTGATAATGCTTTTCTTTATTAATTTCGTCTTCAGAACATGAATCAGTTTGTCCACTAAGAAAGCGTGGATTTAGTCTAGCTTATAGGAAAAAATATAATTCATTTCAGTCTTAATAGTAGAGCGTGTCTCTGGCATACACTGTTCAGTGCTGACATTTATTTAAAATAAACACAGTTAGGTATTTTGGGAATTCTACATAAGGCCTGTAAAGTAGTGGTGCTCACACTTTTACGAGGCAGTGTTAGCGGCGCTATTTTCTTGCAGTTAAAATTATTTGGCCAATTAGTGACTTTAAAGGAGACATTTTCCATCACTCTGGTGTTCATTATCATCATTGTAGAACCTGTATAAAGTCTAATAGCTCTCTCATATCCTGCTGTGGTTTGGAGACTGTGCGCTGCTGAAGGTGTCGGCTGGCTTTGTGCCAGTCTTGCCACTTCATGTTGAAAATCATTTATTGGTGTGGTTTTTTTCAGCTTAATGCTCTTGGGAATTGTTCCCAATTTCTTCACTATTTTTTAGGGTTGTTTTTTTTTTTTGTGCTTATTTCTCTCAGCTGAAATAGACTTATGTGATTATGCAAAGTCTGTAATCTTGGTTAAAGGCAAATACTTTTGATAGTTAGCTGACTGACTCTGTGAATCTTTCGTTTTGGGGTACCTTTATTATAATCACTTCTCTGAGACTGTATATTTTCCTGATCTCCTCTCTTCTGTTCATTCTTAATCATAATTAGCCGATCCTACCGACACAGACTACACAGCAGTGGGCTGTGCCATCACCACCATATCCTCCAACCTGACTGAAATGTCAAAGGGTGTGAAGCTGTTGGCTGCACTCATGGAGGACGACGTAGGAGGAGGCAACGACCTGATGAAGGCCGCCAGGACACTTGCAGGGACCGTATCTGACCTGCTGAAGGCTGTGGAGCCGGCCTCTGGAGAGGTGAGCGAAAGCACCCCAAACTCTAAGAATATAAAAATAAACCAATTTAAGCTCTTTCAGTATTTAGGTTTACTTTACATTTTAGTGCCATATCTATTACTGCGGCAAAACCGATGGCTACTAAGCTAAAAAGGAGCATTGTGTATGCATTAATATTGTCTACTGCATATGTAATATGTGGAAGGTCAGCTTTGGTTGTCGGTTTAAAGTCAAATAAGGTCTGGACATAAAGGAGGTATTAGAATAGAAGCTAAAGTATGAAGGGAGGACCAAATTTGCACACTGTGTTGAGACCAGAGGGAGGAGGGGGAGGAGGAGGGGTAGCCACATTGATAGAGGCATAAAAAATGGAGAATGTGTGAAAATGAGTCCTCACTCTGGATTCCAAGCATCAAGCAAACTTTTCACCATTTGTACTCCATTAAATGCCAGATTTTGTGTGTATGTGCCTGTGGAGCTTTTTCTTCAGTCCAAATGGGCAACCTAAAAAACGCTAATCAAATTGGTCACAGAGCAGCTCTACCATGAGACAATGGATCGTCTCTGAATAATCTATTTTCTCTCTTGGTCCTGAACTAACCTAATTATATTACCATCTTCCACTGCTTGACAGCTTTAACTAACTAAATTGTTATGGTGAATCTGAATAAAGACGGGATATTGAAGCCGAGCTGATCGGCACGTAGTTTGGAGTTAGTTTGAAGGACTTTAATGTAAGGATGTGTTGTTAATTTGTTTGAAAAAAATAATCTATGTACTGTACAGTGTTTAACTGAAAACCATTAAGCTTTACACAGGTGTGCATCGCTGTGCATGCGGATAGTTGGAAAGGTGAATTGTAGATTTGAGTTTAGATGCTACTGATCCAACGCACACAACACACAAATCAAGATATAAAATGCTGCCGGGTGTTTAAATACAGTTTCACATCCTGTGTGTTTTCTGCAGCCAAGACAGACTGTGCTGACAGCAGCAGGCAGCATTGGTCAGGCCAGCGGAGACCTCCTGCGCCAGATTGGAGAGAACGAGACAGACGAGAGGTTTCAGGTGAGACTGCAGCCATTTATCACCTCACTGCATTCAGAGAAAAGTCAATGCTCTGGAACTGCCACTCACTTAATCAAAATCGCCTTGTATCCAGGGGAAAAAGACCAAAATATTGTTCCATATTTTGACCATGTTTTCGGTTTGAGTTGAAGGATTTTCTAGCTTTTAATCTAGATACAATGAAGCTCTTCTTTAGCCTGCCTTCCTAAACACATTCCATTTTTTGCTTGTTTTGCATTTTACAACAATTCAGTTAATGAGTTGAACAGATGTGGAGTGGCTAAATGCGTATGTGTGTTTAATTGGATTATTGAGGCAGAAGCTTTGATGAGATTTATTTAGTTGCATATAACTGCAGACAATCCTGCGCTGATTTTTGCTTCACAATAGTGTTGGTTTAAATGTTCATTTCTACTGTAAGATGCTGCTGCTGCAATTTCTTCCATTTGTTTATGGCTATTATATCAAATGTTATATATGTACAGGTACATAATGTTGCTAATGAGGTGGATTTCCAAGTTTTTTTTTCTATGTTTGTTGCTTTACAGGATGTCCTGATGAATCTGGCGAAAGCAGTGGCCAATGCAGCAGCCATGTTGGTGCTGAAGGCCAAGAATGTGGCCCAGGTTGCAGAGGACACCGTCCTTCAGAACCGGGTCATTGCTGCAGCCACACAGTGTGCCCTGTCCACCTCTCAGCTGGTGGCATGTGCCAAGGTACAAGAATATGCTTTGTTGGATGTGATATGAAATGAAAGTGAAGAGCTCTGTTCCTTCACCGGTCGTCACAAGCATGAATCATATATTTTTAAAAACTTGATCGATATTACATTTTTGGGCCTACACCAGTACTGGCTTTTAAGGAATACAACTTTGAAATATCATCCGCTGTTTTAATATTCCTGCATGTATTCCATAAACTAAACATAGATCTTCAATGTTAGGGGATTTAGCACGGAAGTTCCTATCTCACTCCTGGTTGAGAGATATTTTCCGTTGCTCCATCGGCCCTCTGTGACACTGACAACAATTCATTGCGTTTAGCTTAAACTGTCCACGCTCCATAATCAAAACTATGTGAGCCAAATGGGGGGGGAAAAGACAGCCTGGGGAGTTGATTGCCCCCTTACAGCCTGAAGAGAATTAATGTAGGATATACCTGAATCAGCTGAACATCGGAAATAGTATTAATTATGATATCTTCTTGTCTGTCTCTTCTTCTTTAGACATGTGGATCAGTAACTTTTTCAGTCTTTTTGTGTGTGTGTGTGTGTGTGTGTGTGTGCGTGTGCGTGTGAAACAGATCACTTGTCTTTCCTTTACTCTTCACTGTGTTCTCCCCACACACAGCCGATGGAAGAAAATGTTTTATTTTACATCCAGCATTACTAATATTGGACCAAACCAACAGACATAAATACTCCCACTTCTTTCCTGTTTTTAGTTAATACAACAAAGTAGTGGAGGTTGTGAGTTGTAAGCGTCATTTACTTTGACTGCAAGTGTTGGCGAAAAAGATTACATTTATTATGTTTATAATAAGGTTCATATATAGTTAATCCATTAAAAAAACAACCTAATTGGCATGTTTTTGGTGACCACTCCCCATAACTCTGTCCTTAACTGAGTCAAGCAGATGCTGGATATTAAGGTCAGATTTGATGTTCTGAATGACAGTAGCTTTGGGTTTGCTAGCTAAAAGAGCTTATAACATGAGTAACAAAGGAAAGACAAAAACATGGAAATGTTGAATGATTTACAAAGAGAGTCTGCCAGGTACAAGTTTTCCAATTTTTAGCTACTAAGATCAGATCTCTAATCCCTAAACCTAACCAAGGAAAACTGGCAGATTAGCTTGGGTAAAAGAACGAAACTTGAGGCACACAACAATGTGTGCGGCGGGTAAAGTTTCTGGGCTGCTTTTCCTCATGACACCCATCCCCCAAGATTTTCTCCATTTAAAGCAATGCTTTGTCAGGGATTGTAACATCCTAGTCCTTTTACTGGATCAGATTTTAATATACTAGTACATGCCCATGCAACAGTATTGTTTGGTCTGTTTATAAACTGATATACATAATAAGAAGGAGCGAGAAAGTATCGTAATGAAACCATTTTTGTTGATCCCCTCCAATGCTCAGGTCCTGCGCTAGTACATTGTTAGGTGGATGCCAGGCAATGTGATTCGGTATATAAATAACGTTGACGATTTATGGATTCAAGACATTATTTTCAAGAAATTAAAAGGATGTAATGCTTTCATAAGATGTTACAGATACATAAATGTTGCAAATGGGTCATTTCAGCTCATTGGTTGGTGGTTGTTGGGCAACATGATGATGTAATTATTTGCACCCTATTTGAACCCTTAAGGGCCAAAGATGTACCTGTGTACTAAGTTTGGCTTAACTATTAATCACGCAGGAAGAGTTCATAAACAAGCAGATAGAGATTGTGTATATTATAGTGAAGATCCAACAAAATTCTTTGTGTGTACAATATGGAAAATTATGGGTTAATTGTTTATTTCAAAAACTTAAGCAATGCCATCATCTCCTCAGTTGTGATACTACTCAGCTACATGTGCTGCAGACAGTACTCGGTGTCAGTGCTTGGTTGTGTAAACTATGTACTGGATTCATTTTTAAATTGCCCTGCGGTTTTATTTTGTTTTTTCTGTAATCTTTTCAGACAGAAGTTTTCAAAGCTATACTAAATGGCTCGCATCAAGCAGTATTTCCATGAGATACATTAAATATGATGCTTGTTTTTTAGAAATGATGATTGAATAATGGGGATTTTCTTGGCGTTTATTTTGTCTTGGATGTGAATATTACACTTACAATTTTACAAGAAAAACACTTGGGAAAGACTGCATTTGGTTTCCTCTTTGCGATATAATCACAAAACCGTGTTGTAGATTTAATAAAAACTAAATGATTTCCTCAAATATTAGAATCTCCTATCATTTTTTCTGCAGCGCAAACTTCCATTTTTATAGTGGGGAAAAAAAATCAGTATACGCTAAGGCACTGATAAATACCCTGTGCCCTCATCATATTTGTGCATCTGTAATTATACAGCCCACATGTCTCTAATTAGTTTAAATGCCCTGCCGGCTCCTAATCTGAATAGTTGCATTTACAAAGCCAATCCTCACCTCTGTTCATATCAGCGTGATGACAGCCATATGCTGAAGTCCTTTTAAATTTATGTTTTCTCTGTTCTTTGGTTTTTTTGTTTAATTAATGATGAAAGAGTGTTAAAGTGGTTCATTTATTCCAGGTTCCTGTTTGGATTTGAGGCCTTTTTATTTAAAAAAAAATGTTTTTGTGTTACATTTCTCACACAAAAGAGGTAATTATATATATTCTTTTTCATCTTTATGTTGACGTAGGTGGTAAGCCCAACTATCAGTTCTCCAGTTTGCCAAGAGCAGTTAATTGAAGCTGGAAAGCTTGTCGACCGCTCGGTGGAAAGCTGCGTCCAGGCCTGCCTTTCAGCCACAGAAGATGGCGAACTTCTCAAGCAGGTTAGTTTGGTTTAGTTTAGATCAACATTGCGCTAAACCTTTTGCTGCCTGGTGGAATAATAAACAATGAATCTCTTGTGTTAAAGGTGAGTGCAGCAGCCAGCGTGGTTAGCCAGGCTTTAGGAGATCTCCTGCAACACGTTCGTCAGTACACCTCAAGGGGAGAACCGATTGGGCGCTATGACCAGGCAACGGACACCATTATGACTGTCACTGAGAGTATTTTCAGCTCAATGGGAGATGCTGGTGAGTCCAATTGAGGAGAATTTTCTAGTACTCTAGAATCTGAAATATGCTGTGCATTCAGTGCATGTACAGTGCCACCCTTCCTCACTTGAAGTCAGGAAGGGTGGTATTGTATGAGGACGACAGGAGTGACGGACAAGTGCTGTATATGAGTGTGGTGTAGGGCATGTATGAGGAGGCAGTGAGACAGTGATGAGGTATGTGCTAGACGTGACAGATGGGTCCAAGGTGGTGGTGAGATTACATCAGGGATCAGCTCTGAGCCCCTTCTTGTTTGTGATGGTGATGAGCAGGTTGACAGATGAGGGCAGGCAGGAGTCTCCATGGACTCGGATGCTCACAGGTGACATTGTGCTCTGTAGTAAGAGTAGGAAGCAGGTGCAAGTATGCTCTAGATAGAAGAGGAATTAAAGTCTGTAAGAGCCAGTGTGTGAAAGAGAGGCAAGTGGACAGGTGAAGAAGCAAGTTAAATACCTGGGGTCAGTCATCCTAAGCAATGGACAGTGTGAGCGTCATGGGTAATTTGTGACAGGTGAAGGTTTACAAGGTGGTAGTGAGACCTGCTATGATGGTTTGGAGACAGTGACACTGATTTAAACAAAAAAAAGGAGGCAGATTTGTGGATGCTGAGATTGTTGTTGCGATTGACCAGGATGGACAGGATTAGAAACGGGGACATCAGAGAGACGGTGCAGGTTTAGCGGTTTGAAGACATGAGACAGTTTGGACATGTGCAGATACAATGGACAAAGGATATTGAAGATGGAGCTGTTGGGCACGAGGAAAAGAGAAAGACCACAAAAAAAATTCATGACTGATGTGACAAAAGAGGATGGAGGCAGATGAACTGGTGGGGCGACCAGATCATCTTCAACTCTGGGTCAAGTGCTCATTTAGAAAACTCAGCATGCTAATATGCTAAAACGGAGACAGTTATAAAGTAAACATGTTATGTGTCTTTGTCTTGCTGATGACCTGTTTCCATCATCCAAATTTAGAAGTATTATGAAAGTAATTGCTGATAATCTGGAGAAGGGGGAAAAATGAACACGAAGAAATGAAACAATGACTAAAACACATTCATTGGCTTGTAGGCAAAGCTCACAGCTACTAGCTGATAAGTGCCATCTAAGCTGTCCAAGTGAAATCAAGTGTCAGCGTTGACTTATCAACACTTTTAACCCATGAGAGCTGAATCGGCCTGAAGCATCCTCCAAAGAACCAGCCATAAGTATATAAATAGTTACCACAGCCTACTCTAGAGCTAAAAATGTGAAACTCAACCTGTTATTCTAAGAAGTTTGAGTTTAAATAGACAAATACATTAAAACAGTGCCAGTAGGTGCATTTTTCTTTAAAAAAAAAACTGGCTTACCACATCTCTAAGGCTTGCAGTCCCTGAGTAGATGCTTTTGTGTATCTGTGCCTCTTCCTGTCTTCTCCTCTGACAGACTGATGTGATGCTGGGTTTGAATAGACTCCTGTCAGGCGTTGTGAGTCCACAGAGAAAAGCTGACAGTGATTTTAACAAGCCTGACAGTAGAGAAAGACCAATAGATGGATATAGATGCACTGAGAATGTCAGGGCCTAGAGGTCAGCTCTGACAAAGTGATTGGCCTGACAGTAGAAATTGCTGTTTATTCTTCTGAGAGCTAAATAAAAGAAGAACGACAGAAAACGCCGCCTTTGAACTGGTTGTCAAAGACGGTATGTTATGTTATGTCACACCCAGTATAAAAAAGATAAAGTGTGAAGAGCATTAAAAGAGTTGCTCTGTCAGTAGTGTCAGGTTGAAGGATCACCTTAGACAGTCACATGAATTACAGAGGCTTATCGTAAAGTAGCTTTTAGGGTGTGTGTCTTTGGCACATAGATTATAAACAATAATTTCTTTCATCATTTTTTATTTTTTTAGTATTAGTATTTTAGTCTAGGGCTGTTCGATATGACGATATAAAAACGTCTATCGTCAGACAAAAGAGCTTGACAAACTCTTTTGACTACGATGACCTGGATGACTGAGAACCTTCACAGACATAAAAACGTCTATCGTTTCATTTTACGCTATCGTTTGTTTCGTGGTGTCGCAAAATAAACTGTTTAGGGCAATATTTTTTCATTATTTTGATGGTCACTGTAGTGGTTATATTAATTTCTTAAAGTTCTCTCTTTCTCTTAGATTTAATATAACCACACTACAGACAGACAAGCGTTTGTTTTTATGTGCTGTCGTTAGCAACAACGACGGTAAAACCACCGCGTGTCCGCTTGTTCCACATGAACCTTTCACAATAAAGCTCAAGATCCTGTTGAGACTTTTCAAAATAAACTGAATCACGTGAAAGATGACGAGTGTTTACGGATGAGAAGCAAAAAAGAGCGGTCAGGTGCTAAAAAATAAACCTTACACTCAAACGTTAGAACAGGCTTTCCCCCGCAGCACGCCGTGTAATAAATACTCACAAAGCAAACGGCGGCTGTTACAACTTATGTCTAAAAATGTATCGTTTCATGCATCGGTTAAAACACTCGACTCCAGGTACACGACGCCCAGCTGGAAACACTTCCCGCAAGTCGAGCTGCCGGAGATTCACAGAATTTACAGAAAATGTTACACTTTTGTGATTTATATCGTTATCGGACGATAGGTGTCTTAATATCGGGATATGAGATTATAGTCTTATCGCACAGCCCTATTTTAGTCTGTAATCTTAGTCTAGGAAAGTTTGAAATGTGCTAGTAATATTTACATTCACTGGTTTCTTTGTGTGTCACAAGGGAGATATAAAGTCCTCCAGATCTTATTAGGAATACAACTCTTCACCCACACAGAGTGAAACATGTTTGTATATTTTCTTTCTCTCCCACCAGGCTCTCTTTTAAAGGGCCCTTGTTACACCTCAGTCATATTTATTACTTCAGACCGTGGTAATACAAGTGAATGCACAATAAGGAAGCTTAAAAATTCTGTATCTTACCTTATACTTTCTTGGGTTTAAAATTTCCATCAAAAAAGGTCTTTTGATCAATGTTACATCTGTTGGGCTTTTTTCTTTCCACTTTGACACCAGAGGGATTTTATCTGATTCTTTTGAACGTTTCCCTGAGCTCACCTGAAAACATGTGTACCTGCAAGCAGGATTTCTAATATCACATGTTGTTTAAAAGCTGATGTTCACTCATCGCAGTGCTTATACCTCATATGCATCTCTTTTAATAATGTAGCTGGAGTCGTGCTTGTATTAGTGAAACTTGAATCTTTGTAAAGATTTCTGCCTTTTAGTTAATTGAGCTTTTTTGTGGCAAAACCACAGAAACAAAAAGATTGCTCAAAGCAGTGTAAATTTTATATAAGCTTAAATGTCTGAAGGGGATCTTTTATGTTGTCTTACTGATAGAAAATTAAAATATTTCAAATTTAAAAATCAATACTGTCTTGTTAAAATGTTTATCTGCTCCGCTAGGGTTTGCCAGCATGGGAACATTATTGCATCGTTATCACTAATCAGTACAAAAGAAAGCAGTTGTTGAAAAGGGTTTGACTAATATTGCAAGTGGTTAAAGAAATTTTAAATGCTGTTATCCAAATTGTTCATTATTCAGTAAACTTGGAAGCATTTGCAGTAAAGAGATCTAAAAGTACCCAGTACAGGTTTCTTAAAAACAAGCAACCACCCGGTCTTTTTTGGGAAGGGACTCGATTCTGTCCCAGCTGACATTGGGAGAGGCTGTGTACACCTTGTATAGATCCTTAGTCCATCACTGGGCTCCTGAAATTGAACAAAATTCCAAAGCCAGTATTATTTTTTTGTGTTATTTTATTCCTCCTAAGCCAGAATTTCATACTTTGTTGAACCATTTTTGCTTTTTTGCTTTTGCTAGTGCATGGTTGTACATCTTGGTGTTTAAAATACCTCTTGTTCATAATTTGTAGGGTTATACATCACATTAGTGGGAAACATTCACTGACCTAATTTTAATCCATTCATTGAGAAAACCACTCCACGAGGAGGGATTAAAGGAGCCTGTCATTAGTATGACTTCTACATTTACCCATGTCTCTGTTTCCCCTCATCTCTCCTCTTTAATCCGTCGCTGCGTTTCTCAGGAGAGATGGTGCGTCAGGCTCGAGTCTTGGCTCAGGCCACCTCCGATTTGGTGAATGCCATGAGGTCCGATGCAGAAGCCGAGGTCGACGTCGACAATTCTAAGAAGTTGCTGGCAGCTGCTAAATTGTTGGCTGATGCCACAGCAAGGATGGTGGAGGCAGCAAAGGTAAGAATCATATTTATTAAATGGTGAATGGACTTTTTTTTAGTCGACTTGAGCAATCAAAACACTTTATCCTACGCACAGCACTTTTTTTTGCATCTAAGTGCTTTCCATCTAATAATCACTCTGCGATCAAGGGATCAGTGGCAACTCAGGGTTCATCATCTTGCCCCTTTAGTATGCAGAGTGGAGCAGCCAGGTATCGAACCAGCAACCTTCCAATTCTCCTTAGGCTAAAATTTCAAAAACATGCCTGTTTATCTTTTTTGGAATTTGGCTTTGATACCTATTCTGTCCCCAAAAAGACTGAACTGAGCTAAAGATTTCATTTTAATCTCAGTAATGGCATTTTTAAGATTGTGTAAAGATCCAGTGGGCTTGGCTTTGCTTCTCCGGTATGTATAAAATAACCTTTATAGTGACAGCAGAGGGGAAAGAAGCAGAACCAGAGACCCCAAGAGGGGAGGTAGGTGTGTGTGTTCACACAAAGGGGAGAGAGGTTATTCTGCTTGGTCTTGTTGGCATGGTTCTAATTCTTTAATAAAAGATGACCTTAAAAACTTTTTCAATTTAAAAAGAAAAAAAGCCCCTCTTGATCCTTATTTCTAGGATGCTTTTCTCAAAGTCAACATCTACAGGGTCAGTCTTCTTGTTAAGCTGCATATTGAATTGTTGTTGGTTAATGTTGTGAATTAGCGTTGGTGGTTTAGTGACACTGCTCATTCTTTTGTACTTGTAGAGTTTGTGTGTTAGAGTTATTTTATTTTAAATACTTTGAAATTACACATTAAAAATCTAGGCCTTGTTTAGTTGATTTATAGACACTTGGAGTTGTGTGAATAGTGACTTTTATATTGCTAAAATTTCTAACATTCAGGCAGTTTTGGAGCTCACTGAGTAACAAATTATACTTTGAAATGAAATGAAGAAAATCCTGCTCCCTTAAACCTTCCTCTGGTAAACAGCAATAGTTGAGATTAGGAATTACTTTGAAGTACAGAAACAATAATCAACTAAAGTGTAAAATTCACAGAATTGGTCTGAAGCAATATATTGTTTAGTTTTCTCTCATCTACTTATTACTTCATAACTTTTTTATGAAAGCAACATTAAAATTGCCTGGACATCAAAATTGATTCTCCCCAGACTTTTGAGGTCAGGCTTAGCTTTGCCTCTTATCTCATCGTCTTCTATCCAAATTATTTATCTGCTATCTTTCGACATCGGTCCCGTTATCTTTCAACAGAATCTCACGCTGATATTAATAACTCTCAACTTCCACCATGAAAATTAAATGATGCCCTCCAGCTGGTTGGTAGAGTCTGATGCCAGACTTATCACCATCACAGCTGTATGTTTATCCGTGTGAATGGACGCTGAGACCTTAGCCAACCATTGCCTTGGTAACGGGTTTAGCATATTTAGCTTATTTCTTTTGCTCCAAATTGTAAAATCAATGCTGATGCTTGAGCACTGTTGACTTGCTGAAACTCGCGTACCATGCTGCTATTAAACAATCTCGGATTTTAAAGACTAGTTCCCCAGGATGAATTCTTTCTTGCAAAGTGTTGTTACACCCTGTGGAAAACATCACTTTCTAATAATTATGCAAATTGGCTGCTCTATTTAAATGGTGTCAGCAGTTGCCAACAGGCTGATGACAGCTGCAAACTGCACCGACTCGAAACTGGTTACTAACAACATTTTAACTCTGATTAATGCTCTTGGAGCACAAAATTAGTTTTGTTTTTGTCTGTGTGCTCGTGATATATTGGGTTGCAGTGACTTCTGCCAGTAGCATCAGTGAGGTTAAATATTTCTTTAATGACATGTGTTGTCATGCACACCTTCCTCTCTGTGTAGCTGCAGGTGATGCTCCCCATTAATTAACTTAATGGCAGAAGGCTGAGCTTTCTCTCCAACAGCAGGAGACGGGAAGGTGCGAGTACCCAGTAAACATGTACCGCTGTATGTATAAACAGGAAGATGGAAAAGCTTCTTGATATGAATAAACAACAGCTCCTGACATTTAGCCGTCTACAAAGAAATGATTGTTTGCATCAGGTTGAGCAGTGGGAAAGTCATTTTCAAAGATTTCTCGGGACTGGACGTTCTAAGATTATTTCTTCCTGCCTTGCCTATCTGTCATGTATAGGCTTATCTGTGTGTGTGTTCTCAGGGAGCAGCAGCCTACCCAGAAAATGAAGACCAGCAGCAGAGACTGAGGGAGGCTGCAGAGGGGCTGCGTGTGGCCACTAATGCTGCTGCTCAGAATGCCATCAAGAAGAAACTGATCAACAGACTGGAGGTCAGCAGAGCAAAATTAGCAGTTGCACATCGACCCAAGTGAATAAGCTACCACAGACAGATGATATTTCTTCCTGAATTTAGCCTGAGAGGTGATATCGTGCTATCTCCAGCACCAATTCTAAATGTCACCATCTCTAAAGTTGTATTAGTATTAGGATACTGTGTCACCGTCTACAAAGTTCAAATGAGGCACCAAAGATTAGGGAAGATGAGATTTTGATGTTTACTAAGCTGTTTTCACCATTTAAATGTCAGGTTTTAAATATTTGCTTCAGTTTGTTTATTTCTTTCTTTTTGCCTGAAATGGGAAAAGAAGTGCAATCGAAATGGATCGAAAGTTGCTCGTATGCCTTAAGGTTGCTTGACTCACAACTCAATATCGCCTCAAATAATAATGTTGAGCTCGTTCAGAAGGATTTCTAAAATTCACCTGATTTTGTTTATTTAATTTCATTTTTTAAATGCACTTTCCTTGTACATAGTCTTTTTACATAACGCCTTTTTTTTTTTTTTTTTTTTTAAATATAGGAAGAAAATGTATGGAAACACAAGTCCCACTCTTAATTATTAGTCTTTTATGCTGCATATTTAGCAGCATATTTACCATTTCAGCATCCAGAAGCAGAGGAGTGAAGAGAGTGTGACACCGTGACTGCGAAACCATATTCTACATGTGACGTTTGTGTGGGTCTTGTCATTATTCCTCAGAATGCTGCCAAGCAAGCTGCAGCTGCAGCCACACAGACAATCGCCGCTGCTCAAAACGCCGCCGCCTCCAACAAGAACACAGCTGCTCACCAGCAGCTGGTGCAGAGTTGTAAGGTGAGGGATGTTGCTAACAGCAGGGTGCCATTTATTTTTGGTGGTTTTGGCTTCTTTTTTTTTTTAATGTGAACTGCATTGAAACTTTGTGCTTCATACTATGTTTCTTTCATATCTTTATGGTAATGTGTCTCCATGTTTGTGTGTGTAGGCAGTTGCAGATCATATCCCACAGCTTGTCCAGGGAGTCCGTGGCAGTCAGGCCAAACCGGAGGACCTGAGTGCACAGTTGGCCCTCATTATTGCCAGCCAGAACTTCTTACAGGTGCAGCCCTTTATGATCTTTTGGTTTGCCTGTTTTGCTGGTGTGGGGATTGTTAAAAGTTTATGTGCCCGCACTCGTACTGGGTAACTTCAGTCCTACATTGGAAACCAGGCTAAAAGTATAAATAGTGCTTCTGTCATGTGGGGACGTTAAAAATAGGCCGGTAACCTCTTTTTGGTGTTAGCGGGCGGTTACAGAAATGCTGGTGTGATGGTATTATGTGTTAAATACCTAACTGGGGTTTCAGAGCCCCACATAATACCCTTTGAAGAAATATCAACAAGTCTGTGAACTACACAGTGCACTGGTTGCTTGATTCTCTAAGGGAACGCGTTCCGTTGAGCCCTATACGATTTAAATAAATACAATTTTATTAAAATTTAAATTAATGTTTTTTGGGGGGGTTTTTCCCCACATCTCTCTCTCTCTGCAGCCTGGCAGTAAGATGGTGACCTCGGCCAAGTCATCTGTTCCCACGGTGACTGATCAGGCTGCAGCCATGCAACTGGGTCAGTGTGCCAAGAACCTGGCCACCTGCCTGGCGGAGCTGAGGACGTCTGCACAGAAGGTAGAGCATAGACACGCATGGGAATTCTTGCATTCCCATGTGTGCATGTAGGAATTTATTCTTGCATGCATAGTATTCACAAAATGACTGGATTTTGGACATGCAGATCGCATGTGCAAGAAAATATTTTACCTTTGTGGTTCATATACAAATTTTAGACCTCATAGGAACAGACAAAAAGCCATATAGACATATGCCATATACTTGCTTTTGTTTCTAGGCTCATGAAGCTTGTGGCCCCATGGAGATAGACTCTGCCCTTACAGCCATCCAGACCCTAAGAAGTGAGCTACAAGATGCCAAGATGACTGCTGTGAATGCCCAACTAAAACCACTTCCTGGAGAATCAGTAAGAAACATTGTAGCCCCATAAAGCAGAGTCGGGACTCAGCTGCACTAGATTCAAGACATGCTCATGCTGCCAGTGCATGAGCATGTCAGAAGTGAGTTTGCAGACTAATATTCTGTTTTCAGTTACTAAAATACAAAGCCCCCCCCCCTTTCTCTAGCTGGAGAAGTGTGCTCAGGATCTGGGAAGCACCTCCAAGTCTGTGGGATCCTCTATGGCTCAGCTGCTCACCTGTGCTGCACAAGGAAATGAACACTACACAGGTTGGTACTGCTGACATCATTCTAGTAAAAAAACCGTCAAACCGAGGCAAGAGGAAGAAATCTTTATCGTTTTAGGAAACCACATACAACCTTTCATCTATTGCCTCAAGAAGGCCTACTTCTTTATTATAAACCACTAGTTGTCTTGACCTTTCTCAAGTTCATCCTGTGCTATTTTCTCTTGCTTTGCTCTCCAGAATGTAGCACACACAAGGCTCGCTGGTGATTTCATTAGCTTTAACAGTATCCTCGGTTAGAGCACAGCCCAATGAACCAGAGGAGAAATGCACCCATCGCCTGGAACCCGTTTTTCCTTTTTCCTCCCCCTTGAGTAATCTTGTTATCCGAACCATAATATGGCTTCATTCCATTTGTTTTATCCTATCCAGCTAATTTGTTGTGGATGAGATGTCACATTTCTCATGAGACTCTCATTGTCGGTTCCTGTCTGTGAGGGGAAAGAGCCTCATGGCACCTTGTTGCTTGTTGCTTCACATTTCTCGAGACAGAAGAATTACTTTTTGTGCCTTTAACAAATGCCATTACAAATTTTTATGACTCGAAGATGACAGTGAACACTGTCTTGTCACAAAGTGTCATAGCTTTAATAACGCACTGTGATGCCTCTGTGTCAGTTACATTTGTACTCTCTCTTACCTCTGATCATCGTGCGTGTAGGAATAGCAGCCAGAGAGACAGCTCAGGCTCTAAAAACACTCGCCCAAGCAGCCCGTGGCGTTGCTGCTTCCACCACGGAGCCCAAGGGCGCGGCTGCCATGTTGGACTCGGCCCGTGACGTTATGGAGGGCTCTGCGCTTCTCATACATGAGGCTAAGCAGGCACTGATTTCCCCCGGAGACGCTGAGAGCCAGCAGAGACTGGCACAGGTGAGATGGTTCAGAATTGCTCGAGGTTATGGAGTCCAACACTGCAGATGGCAGGAAGGCTCGGTGCAGCCCTCGGCTTCCTTTCAGATTATGGCACCTGTGCCTTAAAAGTAAAGTCATCAAAATAAACTCCTGAACAATCATGAACTAAATGAAATACACTGTTAAAAGTAATATTTTTCCCCTGGGACTCACGGAGGAATTGAACAGGAAGTTTAATAATAGATCTTACTGAATATGTTGTGAATTTACACGATGTGACTTTTAAAGATGAAACCAGGTTCTGTTTTTGTTTAATATATTTATTAATCAGCCTTTCTTTCTTTTGGTTAATATGTTTAGTTGAATATTTACGTTTAGAAGGATATCTACGTCTGCTTGGTGATGCAGTCAAGTGAACACCTGTCAAATTTAGCAAGTAGCTCTATAATAAACCAGGTGGCAATTTATTGCAAAGTATTTTAATTATTTATACCTCGTTGCCCAGGTGTTTTCCACTCAAAATGAATAAATGATGTGGTATCAATGGAGAAAAATGAATATTAGAATAACCAATTAGTGTTATCTAAGACCTTTTGGAAATGTTTAGTAAAACAAAAAAATTTTGGATGTGCGAGCCTCTCTGTTATCTTTGAACTGCTTCACTGAGATGTCATGTTGTTGTGTGCTTCAGGGGTCGCTATGTGATATTTATGATGGAAAAAAATTCTGTTATTTTCCATGAAGAAACATGACAGAATGAGACAGTTTCTTAAGACTCAGGTCTATGAAAATAAGTAATGGCTTAAATAAAATATACAAATAAAAGTAGTACAACAAATGAATGTAATAAAAAAATTCTATAAACTAATCAACTATACAATAAATGACCCTTTAAAATAAAAATAATGGCCTGCTCCATAAGTCTATTAAAAAGTGCAGCAGTTTGAAGTGAAAAATGTTTGTTTTCAGAGGCGTGACAGCTGAACAGTCTCACTACATCTGACAAAAACCTTTTCAGCCTTATGGACAACTGGCACTTTTTGGGGATAATTGCTATGCTCATTAACGTTTTGAGTTTGGATTTCTAGATTAGCTTGTCCACCTGTGCCCACCCTCCTAACCCAGTTTGCTGTGTGTTTCAGGTGGCGAAGGCTGTGTCTCATTCCCTAAACAACTGCGTTAACTGTCTACCTGGCCAGAAGGATGTGGACATGGCTCTCAAGAGCATCGGAGAGGCCAGCAAGAAGCTACTGATTGAAACCGTGAGTCATCGGAGCTCTGCCGGCACAACATCGGCATCACAGATTGCTTTCCGTTCCCACGGCGGGAGGGAAAAAAAGAAACAACCTCGAGAAATATGTGATTAATGACGCGTACAAGTTAAGAGCAGGATTGACCTTTTAAATATCATTTCAAGCATTCTTTAGTGACCACTTTTAAATCATTCAGCAGCGTTGTTCATCTGACGGGAGTGTAAACCTGATTTCATTTAAGCATGCAAGTCAGGAAAGGGGCATGATTTACATTTCTATTGCTTTTTAGACATTTGTCAAGTTTCAAATTTAAGACTGAACATGTTTTGGTTTACAGACAGTTTTCAGTTTATAGGGTTAGCACTAAAGTGACATCATTATTGCTGATACACCTGCTGTAAATGCATTGGGGAACTGTTAGATATTACTCTGACGCTTACAAATAATTTAATTTCTTTCATCTTGAATCATTCTATTTTGTGCTGCCTTCAGATCCCACCCGCCTCAAAGTCATTCCAGGAGGCCCAGAGTGAGCTCAACCAAACAGCAGCTGAACTAAACCAGTCAGCGGGCGAGGTGGTCCACGCCTCCAGAGGCTCCAGCAGCCAGCTGGCTGTGGCCTCTGGAAAGTTCAGCCAAGACTTTGATGAGTTCCTGGATGCTGGCATCGAGATGGCTGGGCACACTCAGGTTGGTTTTGTATCTCAATTCCAACATCTGGTCATCAATATTAAGACAGTAGTAGCACGTATCACAACTCAGATATCCCAGTAAAGAGACAAAGACTTCAGACTCCTTTGAAATGTATTTTCACACGCTTGTGTGTGTGTGTCATTCTAGAAAAAGGACGACCAGGTGCAGGTGATTGGTAACCTGAAGAACATCTCCATGGCTTCTAGCAAACTGCTGTTGGCTGCTAAAAGTCTGTCTGTGGACCCAGCAGCAGCAAACGCCAAGAACCTGCTAGCTGCTGCAGCAAGGTACTACAACTGGCCCCTACACACACCCACAAACCATGATTTTTAATGTTTACAGCAGATTTGATTGGTAGTATCTCATGATAGATCTTAAGATCAAAGAGTCGATATAAGGCTCAAGGTCCAGGGTTCGGTAATAAGACTAACAGCAAATAATTAGCTGTTCAAAGCTATGAACATAATAATTCTATTTTATTGCTATTGGTTTAGATCTGTTTTTTAAACTACCACTTTACTCATTCGGTAATGAGCATATGGTAAAAGCGTCTATCAAGGCAAGTGGGCTTTGTTATGATTTTCACATTATCAGCAAAATGCACTCAGACATCTGCTTGCTATGATAACATACTCATTAATGGGTTTAATGGGGCCAATTTCAGCTGCCAACCAAAACGGGTCATTTAAAAAATTAAAAGCAAACAAAAAGAGAGATGCAAACAAAATGTTGAGACGATCAGATAAGGGGATGAAATTGATGAGCTTGCACAAACAAAAAAGACGTAGGTATTTGCAAGGGTGAGTGTATAAGCTGTGTTATTAGCACACAGAAACAAGCAGGAATAATTCTCACATTTCAAAAGCGACGCGCACAGAATAAAAGCCTGTTTCCCTTACGCTCTCGTGGACTGGAGTGTGATGTTTGTTCCTCTTCTCTATGCCAGAGCTGTGACTGACAGCATCAACCAGCTGATCACTCTGTGCACACAGCAGGCTCCAGGGCAGAAGGAGTGTGACAATGCCCTGAGAGAGTTGGAGGTAAATAAAACTTTTCCACCTTGCGATCAAGCATTCGCGATCAAGCATTCGCAATCATCAATGGTGTCAGCGAGTTTCAATACAAGCTGTGGATTATAAGACGCCTCTCTTTTCTGGCACTGACTAATGAGAATAAAGTGAAAATAAAAGCCTCTCAAACTTCTTTAAAACCTTTATTCATCTCCCAGGCTGTCAGAGGAATGCTTGACAACCCTAATGAACCGGTCAGTGACCTCTCCTACTTTGACTGTATCGAGAGTGTGATGGAGAACTCGAAGGTAGGCTTTTGACTAAAGCAGACAGACACAAAGCACACGGCACACTTCCAATTAGGCATCTTAAGCGTACCATTTCTTCTCTGCCGACTCTCTGTTCAGGTCCTGGGAGAGTCTATGGCTGGCATTTCTCAGAACTGCAAAACCGGGGATGTGTCTGCATTTGGCGACTGTGTGGGATCAGCGTCTAAAGCCCTGTGTGGCCTCACTGAAGCCGCAGGACAGGTACAGAGTGTTAGAACAACGATTGTCACGCTCCCTGGGCAAATAAAGAAACAGCAGTCGGGGTGATTATGGGGAATGCTGTTTGATGAGTGTTATTTTTCCACAGGCTTCTTACTTGGTGGGTGTGTCAGACCCTAACAGTCAGGCGGGACACCAGGGTTTGGTGGATCCCATACAGTTTGCTAAAGCCAACCAAGCAATCCAGATGGCCTGTCAGAATCTTGTTGACCCAGAAAGCAGCCCCTCCCAGGTATATCCACTGTTCTGCTCATATACAACCAAAGCCAGTTAATTATATAAAAGTGTAATATACAGTGCCAACATAGCACTGTGGTTACGCTGTTCTGCAGAGATGTTATAGTATGATTCATTATCAGACCAGTGTGTTGGACTGATATGTGTTCAGAATAGCATTTCTAGAAAACAGAATTATTGAAGCAGACGGTTATCCGTTTGCTCAGAATTGCTTAATATTCTGTGCAGAAGCATCCAACTGTTTGGTAGCCAGATGCTTTCCCTGCAGATCTAGAAGTCTAATATTAATATTTGCTCTATTATTGCCTTTATTTCCATCAACAACTGTCTGCGTTGAAGATTAACATCTTTTTGTCTAATTATGCAACTTCTTAAGCACTCTCACATAAGTCACATTTCAGCTCATCGGTCTATACCAGAGATTTTAATGAAAATCTTTTATTAGTAAATGATTTTTAGTTCAAATAAATGGAAATGGCACAAAACTGCATACATACCACATGGGCGTCTGCAGGGAGTTCCTGAGTCAATTCCCTGCTAACCAGACCTTAACTGCATTCTCCTACTTTCTTTCATCTCATTTCTTCTTATCTCTGCGGCGACTGTCTGATGAAGCCAAAAGTTCCAGAAAACGTTCAAAACAAAAATAATAAGACTGTACATTTGCTGTACATTTGGGCCTCTTATATCAAATCTAGTATTTCCAGTAGTCAGCTTTGATCTGATCTATCGCTACAGATACTGTCCTGAATTTATGTTGTAAGATTGCCCATGCCTGCAGTATCACTGACAATTGACCATTTTACTGTTTTACAGGTTCTCTCAGCAGCCACCATCGTTGCTAAGCACACCTCGGCATTGTGCAATGCCTGTCGTCTCGCTTCTTCTAAGACAACCAATCCTGTTGCCAAGAGGCACTTTGTGCAGTCTGCCAAGGAGGTTGCCAACAGCACTGCCAACTTGGTCAAAACAATTAAGGTATGTTTCTATCTTGTCAAAAGTTTGACTCTGTGACCTGATTGTCATTGTACAGCTATAAACTTAGCTTAGACATAACATTTCTGTCTTTTCCTTGTGTGATAACCTGGAGGAATCCCTGTTTTTATCTCATATGTCTGTCTTTTTTAAAATATTTATTCTCAGCGCTTGCTTTTGATAACTTTAATACAGTCAGTTTTAATGCTATTTGTTTCATACACCCTTTTTAAAATTCCATTCTCTCACTTTCCAGGCTTTAGATGGTGATTTCTCAGAGGAAAACAGGAACAGGTGTCGAGTCGCCACGGCTCCACTAATTGAAGCTGTTGAAAACTTGACAACATTTGCTTCCAACCCAGAGTTTGCCAGCGTGCCCGCTAAAATCAGCACTGAGGTGTGGCTCTGTTAACATTAGTCCAGGACTGTTGCGCGTTTTTACAGTTTACCGGTTGAAGAAAAATTTGGAAAATTATGCAAAATTTAGATTGAGTTTGTTTTTTCTTTAGGGCTCTGCAGCACAGGAGCCCATCCTCCAGTCGGCACGGTCTATGCTTGATAGCTCCACCCATCTGCTCAAAACCGCACGCTCATTGGTTATCAACCCAAAAGACCCGCCCACGTGGTCCGTCCTGGCCGGTCATTCTCGTACTGTCTCCGACTCCATCAAGAGTCTCATCACAGCCATCCGGTTAGATAACAATGATTCAGTGAGACTTGCAAAAGACAAACTACAGCAGGAGTGTTTATGCAAAGGTTTAAGGAACACTTTGACATTTTGGGTGATAGGTACATTCACTTTGTTGCTGATGGTTAGGTGAGGAGATCAATACTGCTCATGTCTGTTAGATAAATATGAAGTTGGTGCCATCATCTGTTCAGATTTAGGTTTGAAAATGGGCAAACAGCTAGGGCAGCAGAATTTAAACAAAAACAAAATAATATCATGATTTGGCAGGGATTGTGAAACCCTTTCAACCCAGGAAGACTCCAAATCACCAGTTTAATAATTTATCGCACTTCAACACCACTGTAGTCTATTTCCGTGCAGTGATGAATTGTGCGTAACACAGTTTGTGCTCCCTTTTTATCTGCTTGTATTGCTGTATAAAGCACCTTGAGAGGGGGCAGCCAAAAGCTGTAACCTGGGGTTACGTACACTTGTGTTTTGTGCAGCTCACATTTTTAATCTCCTCTTTCACACAGTTTTGTACCTGACCTTGATCAGAACAAAACTGATGCCCATGAGAGGCTAATTCCCTGAGACCAAACACACTGAATGTTAAAGTTCTCATTCGTCTCAGAACATCTGCACATTAGCATTCATGCGTAGCCGGCTTAGCGTCGCTTTCAGTTCTGATGCCCTTATCGCCCATCTTCCTTTTTAGACTGCAAATTCAGTACTGGGAGTGTAATAGAATTCAGTGATATATTTCAGGCCAAAGAATACACATAGCATCCTGCAGCAGCCGGGCTCATAACTTTGTCAGCCTCATTAAGCACAGAGACGAGGTTTTATTTTAGTCTTACTTTTGGTGTGCCACCGTGCATGGAAATGGATGTTTAACGAACTTAATCTGCCCATGAGGCCGGAGCCACAGACAAATCAAAGGCTTCAAAGCTAATTTTGCTGCCTGGCTTGATCTCCCTATGCAGAGACGAGACCCTACAGGCCACAGTTTGGCAGATGTGACCTGAGCATCAATGAGACGAGGAAGCCAGTAGAGAAAGGGGGGGGATAGAAATCCTGCAATGTGTCTGTGTTTTAATAATTCCAATGTTAACATTTCTTCTTCTGGTCTTTTCCTTTCTTCATTACTCATTTTTGTCTTTCTGGTTCCCTTTTTCTCCTCTCCTGTTTGCAGGGACAAGGCCCCAGGCCAGCGGGAGTGCGATTCGTCAATTGATAACATCAACAAATGTATCCGGGACATTGAGCAGGCCTCTCTGGCCGCTGTCAGCCAGAACTTACCCAGCAGAGACGACATCTCACTGGAGGTAAGCGGCCATCGGAAGATGGCTCCGAATCTTTGCAGACACAAACTTTGTCTGTGTTTTCATTTGTTTTTTTTGTTACTTGCGTAGATATTAATCTGCTCCTTTTGCCTTTTCTTTTTTCCCACTTCCACTTTTCCCACTTTTTTGTATGCTAAATCTGTCGGTTTTGAGTCTATTTTTAGTGGTATTAATGAGGTTTTCTGTCCTTGTCCTTCTCTCAGACCATTCAAGAGAGACTAGGGATTATTTCTTTCTTTTCCTTTTGTGTCTTTGAGTGTAACAAAACATTTGAATGGCAGTAGTTCTTCTTGCAGTAGTCCTTCAGCACAGTATGGGCAGAATGTGAGTCTTATGTTTAACACCCTGACACTGGCTTTAATGGGGAAGTTTTGGCACCTGCTAAATAATAAAAAGTTTAAGCTCGCATATTAAAAGTCAGAGTAGCTCAGGGCAGTTATCCTTCTGTTATGTTTCCTGCTTTTTAGCAGGTCCCAGCTGCCTTCTTTGAATGCACCTCTGTCTCCCATAAAAAGCAACACAAAAACCAATTTCTTTTTATTTCCTCTCTTCAGGCACTACAAGAGCAACTGACGTCCACCGTGCAGGAAATTGGCCACTTAATTGACCCCGTTTCCACTGCTGCCAGGGGCGAAGCTTCCCAACTAGGACACAAGGTATATAGGGCAGTGCCTTAATTATTATTATACTGCAACTGTGGAGCAACAAAGTTGTCTTTGTCAGCAGCAGGATTCAGTGGCAGGAGTGTTGCCTATATGTTTAGGTTAGCTGTGGGCTGTTATAATTATCTCAGCATTATCTATCATTAAATAATAGTGATTTTTGAAACAAAAAGTTGATGCATTGTTCAAGCAGCAGGGTTAGTTTGACTTTTATATGAGTAAACTTTCACCTCCCACTAGAATGCTCTGTGTCACTGTCCATCTTTGCAAACTTATCAGCATTTCTTCACGTGTTGTAAAGAAGATTATTACTGCAACATATTCCTTTTTTATTCTGTCTGCACACCAAATAGTCTGCTTAATGGCCTGAAATTGTGCCCAGTAAGTGAAATGTATAAAAGGTTTAACACTTATATGACCGTACCATTTTGAAATAATTTGAGAAGCTGCTCATTTTCTGAAACCGTGCTTCTTCACGTGTGAATGTGACACTTAGCACTTCAGCCTACATATCGCTGACTCGTGCTGTTTCTCTAGACTCATTAAAAACTTTTCTTTTACCTCAGGTGACTCAGTTGGCTGGCTACTTTGAGCCACTGATCAAGGCCTCCGTGGGTGTGGCGTCCAAGCTGAAGGACCACCAGCAGCAGATGACTTTCCTGGACCAAACAAAGACGCTGGCTGAGTCGGCTCTGCAAATGCTCTATGCTGCCAAAGAGGGTGGAGGAAACCCAAAGGCACGACCATTTTATGCTTTATGCACCTTGTTTAAAGTGCTCCTTCGCTTCCTTTACACATATTGGAAAATGATCTCCATCATTAAGTTTTCCAGTGCATCAACAAGTATAATTAACTGTATTTATTGCACACTTATGATACACAATGATGTGTCAAAAGGGTGGAGCAAAGGGTGTCACCATTTAGGCCTTTTTAACTCCTCCCAAACAACGGGAGCAAAAGAGTATCACAGATGCGTGACGAGGGAGAGACGGGCCTGTGTGCCACCACAGTTTTAATCAGTTGATCAAAATACGATTAAAGTGGAGACTTTCAGCTTTAATTAAAAGGGTTTTACAAAATTTCTGCATTAACCATTTTGGAATTACAGATATTTGGTGGAAAAAACAAAATAAGTAAATAATCCCAGAAGAAATAATAATCTGCTAAATTCTTTAAAATAATGAATGCACACTGACCAGCTCGGCAGCACAAAAAGGTCTGATTACAGAATTATTTCCATGGTTAAGTAAAACAGTTTCACGGCATCTAACCAATTCTTGAAAACTTGGTAAGCACATAATTGTCTTCAAAAACTGTAATGAATGGAAATAAAGAGGGTTTACAATAAAGTGCAAACCACTGGTTACACTCAGAGACAAGATTTTGTATATCTCTAAATAAAAAAGAAAAATCTTTGGACAGATGAAACCAAATGGAGGAAAGAAACAAACTGTTATGTCAGTAACATCTGTTCCCTGAAGGGGTTGAAGAAGATATAACACATATAGGATGAGATATAACACTTCCTGGTTGAAGACACTTCTGTTCACGCCATTAATGCAAACGATATGTGACATATGTGAGGCCCTGCCTGCATATAATACACCCTTATCATCACAGTCATCCCTCAGTTTTGATAGCCGCTCTTCACCGAGCCCAGCTGCACAATGGCGGTGTATCTAATTCCTCTCCTTCAGGGAACAGAAGTTGAGGACAGAACAGTTTGTACCCTTTCAGGCAATTCACTCTGTACACACATAGTATCAAATATATATACATCTCACAAAGCAGCCGCTGAACCAGAGTCAGACCACCATCATCCGACTGCAGGGTAGATCCAGCCGAGAGGACACAATGAACCACTGACGGGACTGCCAGGTCCAAATGATAGAACCAAACAAAAGTGTGCAGTGATGATCAAGTAACTGCAGCACAAACATCATTCACAGGAATACCTGTAAAAAGACCCCATGAGGATGCCATTCCTCTGGTGCAATGTGCTTTCACACTTTGAGGAAAAAAGAGAGTCCCTTTGTACCATATGCCAGGGAGATGGACTCCATAATCCGGTAGGAGAGCCTCTGTTTAGACGGAGATCTACCTCTGGATGGATTAACTAAGCAGACCAACAATTCATCACACTGAGTATCGTCAATATAGGTAGGAAACACTGCACCAGACATAGAGAATACAGCCTACTCTGCTCCTCAGATGGAAAAGTGGGGTGACAAAAGCTCAGATTCATAGAGCTATAAGTTGTAGGAATAACCTCAGGTAAAAACGCAGTATTTGGCCATAATATGATGGGCAAATGGCGCTCGCCTCATGCTAGTCCACATCCAACAAATCTCATGATCCAAAGCATACCACATTATCTGTCAAACACGCTAGAGGCGATGTTATGACATGGACATGCATGGGTACTAGTATGTCATGGCTGCTAGTGTTTATAGTGTACAGAGCTATACTCTCTGCTCAGATTCAGCCAAACGCTGCAGAAGTGACTCGATTTCAGTGCAAATGGATAATGTTCCAAATACATATTGCAAAAACCTAAATGTTACTAAAGGCAAATAAATCCTGATATATGGGTTAGTTTGACAAGGTCATTTTTAAACCTCTGAAAATGGGGGTGCGTGTATTTCACATGTGCTTGTGCTATGTCACATTTCACAGGCATCCCATACCCATGATGCTATAGCAGAGGCAGCTCAGCTCATGAAGGAGGCGGTTGATGACATCATGGTGACACTTAATGAAGCTGCCAGTGAGGTGGGAATGGTGGGAGGAATGGTGGAGTCGATCGCAGATGCCATGGCCAAGGTGAGTGCAGCCGGTTACAGTGTGTCGTCATTTGGATCAGAAGCCACAGAATAACATCTACACCAATTTAAAGATATGTTTAGAGTTTTATTTGGTTAAATTAATTGCACTCTCTGGTTCATAAATAACAGACATTACTGCAGCTCTAAAAAAACAAACAAACCTCCACCTTTAAGCTCTTTGTCCGCATCAGCGATTGTCTGCTTTTCACCATCATCTATTTCAGCTCATCACCAACTATGTGGTGATTGACAGCTCTATTCTGTCTTCATTTGTGTTGCAAGACAGCATGGCTGCTAGTCAGATAATACATCATCCAACATTATCTTACAATGAGCAAAACCACCTGCTGTCCACCCTGTTCCCAACATCCAAAACAGGCATGGAAAATTAAACATAGACTAAAAACTAAAAATGCAGCAACTTGATATTTTATTCCACAGTTAGAGTCCATTTTAGTATGAATTTTTAAACCTGCGTAGTGGGAAACATCCTGTTTTGAAAGATTTCCCACCTACGGAAGCCAGAATGCTATAAAAAAACTGAGTGTGTGGTAAATGGATTAAAAGTTAATAGCCATAACAGAAGTTGTCTTATGGAAGCAAATGTTACAGAGCAATCAGCATCTAATTAAAGTTTTATTCTTTTCTTGTGTTCATTTGACCCATGACATCCCGTTGCTCTGTGTAACATCTTGATTACAACCATAATGTTTCCCAGGTGTCATTTAAAAGTCACTGATTAACATATTAATACAAATCACGAGCAACTGAAGCAAAGGAACATTGACTGTGAACGCAGCCATTCTTACTCGGAGTCAGATAATTTGACCTATCTTTCCAATTAACAGTGAAACTATTGGCTTGAAAACCAAGAAAAAGCCTTTTATCTCGAGTACAGGCAGCAGCTAGCATCAGCTAATTATATTTCTCCTTACCGTGCTGAGTGAGGAGCATTGCAAAGGTGAAGAAGCGTCTCAGGAGTGTGGCTTCACCAGAGGGAACAGCATCTTTGCATCAACTTTGTGTGGCATGTCATGAATAATTTATGAAAATGGTTCATTTTTAGTACATGTTGAGCATGCAGGTGCGTGTTTTGTCTGCGTGTCAGTCAGTGCAGTTGATTAAATGGGGATAATCCTCCCCAATAATCCCATTGGCGTAATGGTCACCCTCCATTGTGGTTTTTAGCAGCGGCGATTTAAACAGCTTTTCTGATTAACTTTGAGTCACCTAGTCGAGGCTGCAGATTTTAACGTATTATTTCTATCAGCAGGAGGTGCAAACATCATGCACTTGCAGTATTATGCTATCTTGCAGTACCAGCATGTTTTTCTGGAATCTCTTTTGTCTTCTCTGCCTTTTCCGTGATATTACAAGTAGTCTAATTTGGCAGAAATGCTAGAAACGTATAATGTTTGAACTGCAAGCTGATGATCAAATGTTTTTGGGGTTGATGCGGTTTTAAAGCTGTAATTACAGAGTGCATAATTCATAATGAGTGTTTATCATTCATACAGAGGGTTTCCCTGAATAGAAAGCTGCATTAATGTCGGTTTGCTGATGCCTGCACACCTGACAAAATTGGTATAATTGAAGGGTAGATTAGATGTAACGTGCCATTACAAGTTAAAGAGCTGAAAAATTGATTTCCTTCACGTTTGAAGATGTTTGTTCCTTTCGCGAAGGACAAACCGATCGTGCCTAAAATGAAAAAAATGCAGTGGCAATTTAACTGTGTGTTGATGCGTGTGTTTTTCCTTAGCTGGATGAAGGTACACCACCCGAACCTGAGGGCTCATTTGTGGATTACCAGACCAGTATGGTGAAATACTCTAAAGCCATTGCTGTCACTGCTCAGGAAATGGTAAGCTCTCAAAATAACTCTTAAGATTTTTGTTCCTGAAGTACACCTGTGACCTACGACTGGGTTATTGTTGATTATAAACGAAATACTTTGATTTACATGTCAATTCTGAAATCAAGCTTTTTTTCTGATAATCCACGGTTTGATATTGTAGTTTATCAGCCATCTGCGGTTAGTAGAAATTGTCCTGTCATGTGGTCCTAATTCTCCATCTAGTCGGTTAAATCGAAGCGAATCAAGCTCATTTATAAAAGAAAAATTGATTTTGACTTCACAGCATTTCATAGCGTAGTTAGTAAGTGAGACAGACTTAATGATTTTATCTACCTGGGAGAATCCAAAGATCTGATTAAAATTATTTATCCACCTGCAGTCCCTCGTTTATTTTAATGTTCTCCATTTGTCACATCTCTACTTTCGTCCTCTCATTTGATCACTTTGGTAACCTTGTGATCATAGCCTTGATTTTACTATGAGTTAATGATTTTTGATAGTTTGTTGAAGAAAAGTTAATCTGGGTTTTTTTAGTGCCGAATTTCTTTTTCCCTCCATTTATCAGATGACCAAATCAGTGACTTGTCCAGATGAGCTGGGAGCCCTGGCATCACAGGTGACTGTGGACTACAGCCAGCTCGCTGTTCAGGGACGACTGGCTGCTCACACAGCTGAACCAGAGGAGGTGAGGAGGACTCTGAAAACAGTTTTTACTTACAAAAGAGCTCTGCTCCTTCAATATGGGAATTTTCTTTTTGTGACCTTTAGGCTGCTGTGGATTTAAAGAGAACCTAATGTGCTCTTCCTTATTTTCTGTTATTCATATATAAATATATTTACTGTAGGTGAATTTTCATCAAAACTCTAGTTTCAGGCTTCTCTAAACACTCTGTTATGTTTTTTTTTTTTCTTGGCTGTGTGCATTGTGAACACAGAAGCTCCATCCACCTGCTCAATTCTTATTTACAAAGGGCAGCCAGTCAGATGAAAGTTGGCTTGAAGGGCAGGGGAATGGAGCAAAAAAAGCTTGTTTCAAACAATACATGAACTGAGGGGCTGAACCATGACCTGTATAATCATGCAAAGCTTCTCTAGTCCAGGAACATAAATGTGGCATTTTTTCATACATACATACTTTTTTTTTAAACTATTATTTTAATAATAATAAAAAAAAAACTCCTTTATGTTCTTGCTTTGGTTTGTGTTTGTAGATTGGTTTCCAGATCAAAACCCGAGTGCAGGACCTTGGTCACGGCTGCATCTTTCTGGTACAAAAGGCCGGAGCTCTGCAGATCACCCCGTCTGACAGTTTTACTAAGCGGGAGCTCATTGATTGTGCCCGTGCAGTCACAGAGAAGGTATCGTCCTGTCAATAAAATGGGACTGCCTTATTTAATTAAAAACACACTGTGCTTTTTTAAATTTTGTTCCGGTTTTGTTACAATAGTTCTGCCCACTACTGATCTTAGTTCCCCCATCCATTAACCCAAACCCATCGGGCTAATTGTTGTCGATTGTTTGTTTGCTTCATCTTTAGGCTGCAGATATTTCTGCTTGGCCGAGTATGTTCCGCTCTGAACTCTCTGTGTTGTTCTTTCATTGAATGTTAGAGTAAAATTGTTTTTAGCGATGTAGTTCACATGAAGTGATTCGGCTCTGGTGGGTTTTATCTGTGTGTGGTTTAATTATAGGATTCCAAAGCATGTATAATGTATATGTATTATACACATCATACTTTTCTTATCAAGTTTTCTCTTGTCTGAGCTTTTCACAGCTGTTATTTCTAATAATTCAAGCGTGCCAGTGTTTTTAATACCACTTACACATAAGAAGGAAATACTTCAAAAACATCACACATACTTATTTCAGTGACTTAGCACATTGCAACGTACTGACATTTTTTCCCCTCTTGCTCTTCTCTGTTTTGACCAGTAAAAATATACTTTACTCAAACTGAGCCAAAAGTAACACTACTTTGCTGCAAACTGCCAAAGTTGTTTGTCCTTATTAATGTGCATCATAAAATTTACCAACCTATCCTAGATGGGCGAAAAAAGCCTTCATCTGAGCATCCTCACCTGTGTGGTTAATGGTCTGCTCACGTCCCCAGGTGTCTTTGGTGCTTTCAGCCCTCCAGGCAGGCAATAAGGGCACTCAGGCTTGCATTACAGCAGCCACTGCTGTGTCTGGGATCATTGCTGATCTGGATACCACAATAATGTTTGCGTCCGCCGGCACACTCAACGCAGAGAACGAAGAGTCCTTTGCCGACCACAGGTTAGTGCTTGAAACGCACCCAGTGGTGCAAGACATTTCTACAAGACCCAACAGGAGTCTAAAATCCACCCTGTTGTTATCTTTCATCCCAGACTGACAGAGTGACATATTACCTGCTGAACGGGGAGGAAATCTCTGCTGATAGAAACAATAAATTATCCTAAGGCTTTGAAAAATGCACAGAGTGACACTTCTCTTATTGTCCTGCTCTCACACTTGTCCGCTCTAAGGCAGCACTTCCGCCGTTAAATACTAGTGCGTGAAGAAAAATACAGCAAAACGGGTAGAGAATAGACGTGTTCCATTACTTAATTATCATTGTAGTTCCTTACAGTTGGTTGTTTGTGACGTTTCACTGTATCTCACTGAAGAATCTTTGAAGTGTAGATAAGCAGTCTCGGGACACGATGAAAGAAAACAGAATCACTTAATCTCCGAGCATAGCTCACACAGCTACCTCAGAATAATAGAAGAAACTCTGCAGCTGCTATAATCTCTTTTGTCAATTTTAGGAAAAGAATAACTGACATGACTTGTTATATAACCTTAGCAATCCTCCTAATGTTTGCACAAGCTTTCATGAAGAAATGCCTTTAATATTAAAAGAGATGTGCAGCAATTTGTGTGTCCTTTTCACAGCAGTTCTCACACAGTTGATTTTTTATGTCTTTTTCCCCCTTGTTTAATCTTTCCTTTTCTGTTTCAGGGAAAACATTTTGAAGACTGCTAAAGCTCTGGTTGAGGACACAAAGATGCTGGTGTCCGGCGCAGCTTCCGGTCAGGAGAAGTTGGCACAGGCTGCTCAGTCTTCTGCCAAGACCATTACCCAGCTCACAGATGTGGTCAAATTGGGTGCTGCCAGCATTGGCTCTGATGACCCTGAGACACAGGTTGACCATTATTGTGTTTGTAATCCTCTCATTTCTGTTTGTCCTTTGTCCAGTGTGCCTGTTTAATAGGAGGAATTATGGAATTATGAACTGCGACTGGCAATAACCTTTCAGTGTTTCTGCTTTCCTGGACTGCGCAGTGATTAGTCAGTGTCTTTCTGTCCTTTCTCTAGGTGGTGCTGATAAATGCTGTCAAAGATGTGGCCAAGGCATTGGGTGAGCTCATTAGTGCCACCAAGTGTGCCGCTGGCAAGGCAGCCGATGATCCATCTATGTACCAACTAAAGAGCGCTGCGAAGGTGAGGAGATCAGTCTGCAAGTGCTGAAACTGTCATCTAATTTAACATCCTCCAGTGGGCTCGAATATAGAAATCTGGATATTGGAATTTTCTTTATTTTACTCAACAAAAACAATCAGAGATCTATTTGATTTTTGTTGGTTTCTCTTATGTTCATATTTTCTGATTATACTAATGGAAAACTGAAACTGACATCAGTTTAAATTGATGACAATAATTCCACCGTCCTACATCCTGTATGCGCAGACATCCTCCCCTTACTCAGGCCGAGTCATTAATCAGTAAAATCACCCACAATAGTTAAACTGGAGACTTGGTAATGGAAATTGTCAGGCTGTTCGAGATAGCAGGAAGCGTCTAATACTTCTAACCAAGATGATTATGCTTAGTGCTTTGATCCGGCACACATGCGCTGTAAATTTTCAGAGTCACGGCTCATAACTCACCGATGACACTGTCGACTGCTCATTATCACCTCAACCTGTAAAGCCTGGGGAAAAAAAAGTCAGTTCTCAGTCAGCAACACCACAGAGTGTCATGAAGTCTCTCTGAAGATCACAACATGCCTCACATACAATTTTAGGACCGGAGGTGGGGTGGTGGGGGGGTTAACTCTGACAAATCAGTCTTTCCTTTATGGGGCTTGTGTGCCCCCTATCTTTCAGTATGGTGCATTACAGCTGATTTTAACTGGATGTGTTCTGTTTTTATGTCCTCTCATTGTTCCAACATAAGTGTGAAATTACGGAGCTATAGAAATGTCATCTGAATTAAATTAGTTCAAACTATAAATGAAGACACGATGAGCCAAGGAAATATATATATTTAAAAAAGTGTGTCACCCATATATGATGATCGTCAGGGCTGTGTCCACCAGTGTAGTGAAATATCTTGATTGGGGATGTTTATATGCTCAATTACTTATAAAATAAACAGTCCTAGACGTTTTTTGTTTTTTTTTTTAAATAAATTACAACTACATATACATTTATTACAAAAACACAACCAAATACTGAACCTCCTCGTTGGTAATATTATCATAGTAATAAGACTGTTGTCTTAAATATTCCATAATGTCAGTCATTTGCGGTTTGTTCTGTTGTCCTTCCTCTATTTCTAATTCAGAGCTTGGATGTGGCTGAACACGATGTTCTCTGTTTTCTCCAGGTGATGGTGACAAATGTGACATCCCTGCTGAAGACGGTCAAAGCTGTGGAAGACGAAGCTACTCGCGGTACCAGAGCGCTTGAGGCTACAATCGAGTGCATTAAACAGGAAATGTCGGTAAGGACGAGTCGAGAGGCTAAGCTTGTGAACGTTAGTTAGCAGTATGGTGGCATCACACATTTCAGAAAGGGGACTGATCAGTTTGGAAGTGTGATGAGTAATATTTTTGTAATTATTGAAAATGTCGCATGAGTGACAAAGTAAACATCTTTCGGTTTTTTTTTTCCACAGTTAGGAGTTATTGATTTTAATATTCCCTGAATTAAGTTTGTGATCTGAAATGTCCACAGGTGTTTCAATCCAGGGATGCTCCCAACAAGACAACCACACCTGAGGAGTTCATTCGCATGACTAAAGGAATCACCATGGCAACTGCTAAAGCGGTGGCTGCAGGGAACTCTGGCCGACAGGAGGACATCATCCATACTGCCAACGTCAGCCGCAAAGCCATGTCAGACATGCTCACTACCTGCAAGGTGCTCTATTGCCACAAACAAGTCATGCATGTCTAAATTTGATTTATTGTGGTACTTCCAAAATGTTGCAAAAAAAAAAGAAAATGTGTCCATCTACCCATTATTTCCCACTTATCTGAATTTGGTTGTGGTAGCAAAGGCTAAGCAGGGTATTCCATCTTTAAGGCTGAGCCCAGCATCATCAGCATCAATCGTTTTTGCCACTACAAATGCAAACCAAAAACTGAAATTAGAATTCTGACCCACAAATGTCATCCCCACACAAATTTATAAGTGTGTGTTTGTGTCTTTCAGCAAGCAGCCTACCATCCCGAGGTCAGTGAGGAGGTGAAGAACAGAGCACTGATGTTCGGAGCAGAGTGTACAACTGCTTACATTGACCTACTGGAACATGTACTGCTGGTAGGTTGAATACTGCATCAGCAAGTCTGTAAAAATAAAAGACTTGTACAAACGCTAATCTCATTATTTGATACTTTAAGCATCTTTAATATAAGCATCCACCATTGCAACACTATTTATGTATCTATATATAAAAAATAATAAGGAAAAGTTTCTTTTAAGTTTACACTGTTGCACCCATGTGTTTGTAGGTCCTGCAGAAGCCTACTGCAGAGCAGAAGCAGCATCTGGCAGCTTGTTCCAAGCGAGTAGCCGGAGCAGTAACAGAGCTCATCCAGACTGCTGAGGCCATGAAAGGTAATGCACACAGTGCATCACCACATGTTACACAAGGAGTCCTTTTGAGATGTCATGCAATAAACCCAAATACATATGAGTAAAGCTTTTATTTACTTTCTAATAAAGATCCCAACAAATATTATATTGCTATTAATAGTAGAATGTATTTTTAAAAAGCTCATGTAACAGAAAAAAATATTTATTTACTCAAACATTTGGTAATATTCCTGTCCTCCTTCTCTTGCTACAGATGGAGGTAAGTTAGGGCCGTTTTCTGTTCTGTGCCAGTTGTGAGCTCTTAAATAATTTCTCTCCTCAGCGCTAACATCGATTTTATTTAATCTCATCAAATCCAGCTGCTCTCAGGCTTCTCAGTTACATCCATCTGCTCTATCCATCATGCTTTCTTTTATGTTCCATTACTCTGTCTCCATCGCAGTGAATGATGGTTTGTTGTCAACTATGCATGGGATGTGAAGATACATGGCACACTTTCCTGTGTGTGGTCACGGTGTACTTGTTTTCTTTGGATCACAGCGTGAAGCATGTTCGGTCAAAACACTGCTTTGTGAAGCATTAATAAAATCCTGTTTGCAAATTCAAATCTTATTCATGAATATGGGTGTGCTTGCCTGCCTCAGGTTCAGAGTGGGTGGATCCCGAGGATCCAACAGTGATCGCAGAGACGGAGCTGCTCGGAGCAGCGGCGTCCATTGAAGCAGCAGCTAAGAAGCTCGAGCAACTCAAACCCAGAGCCAAGCCAAAGGTGGGTGACTGTATGGTGAATAAATGAGGAGAGAGGTGAAGGAGATAATCGTGTCAACATAATGTTAAAGAGAAAGACAACCTGTCAAAAGGCCTTTTTCCATTTTATTTACAGTTTAAAGCTTTCTAAGATATTGTTTCTGTCAGCAGTCTCTGGAAATAAAGAAGAAATATTCATCATGAAGCTCATAAAAGTCTTTCATCATGATAGATGATGTGCGGATAGAAATACTCTGTTACAAGAAAATGTCCTGACTTGAAAATTTAAAGAATGAATGGAAAATCATTCCTAAACAATCCATTTACTAATGGCTATAGGTGATGTTTATATGGAATTTTAAAGATGATGTGATGAGCAGCTAAAATACTTTAAAATCATTAAATATTATTTTGAAGATAAAGAGAGAGTTGTTTCCAAGACGCAAAAAGGGGAATAAACCGCAAAAACATTACAAAAGACCTGTAACCAAACCCCTCAGGATCCCCTGCTGCCCACATTAGTTAAATCTTTACAATTTTAGTGAATGTTAAGTCTAAAAAGAAAATGATATTCTAACTTTTCTATAATATAGATTATAGATTAGTGAGCTGGAGTACTTTGGTGCTAATTTTATCAGGTAACCAAATTAAAATTGTTTTATTAAAAAGTACCAACATAACAATGTAACTGTTAAAAGTAAAAATATACACACATTGCCTAAAAATGATAACCTCTAGAGTGTTATTATGGCCCGAGCACTAGTGTGTGAAGGACCTATTGTAATCGCTTTGTTTATCATAGCATTATTATTGACTGTGTGTGTGATTTTACTGTTACAGCTTGCTTAAATGCTTTTTATATAGCAAAAATTTAATGGTGACCAATAAAAGGTCAGGTCCTCTGCAAAGAGTCACAGGAGGCATCTGAAATGTTATTGGATGTGGTTGATAGTCTCACTGTAAAACACCTGATATTATGATGTTGCCCAGCAAGCACCTAACAACAAGCCAACCAGTGCTGTAATGTGGACATGTGTTAGTTTATTTAATGTAAAAACTAGTGATTTAGAGTAGAGTGCACTTTGATCGGAGCGCTAAATATTTCACCTTTTCAGATTACAGCTCATCCTTGTAACTGCCAAGTGATTTGTTGACTTTTAGATAAAACTTCTTATTTTGATCTTTGGACTGCAGAGTGTTTACAGCTCTGTACATTACATAAATGAGCTTTGTAGGAATACGTTCAAGTATATCCTAAACAGTGCTCTGTGCATGCCTGTAAACATCTTTTTGTGTGGTTTATATCCAAGTTTCAGTGTTATTATTGGAAGTTGTACAAGGAGCAATTTTCCGGTAACAAAATAGCACATTTTGTTTTGTTGCATTACTGAAAGGGTGCTCTATCGCTTGTCCTGTCTGTAAAGCTGTTGTATTCAGAACTGTGCAAAAATCTTGAGCCATCCCTTATTTCTTTAAATTTTGCTTCAGAGAAGCAGCCTGGCTTATATTTTTCTTAACTGATCTTGAGCTATAGTTCTCCAGGTTTTCAAAGTTTTTCTTTGTTTATTTTCTGGCCAGTCTTGAAACCTGACAATTTTCAGAGGACTTTTTTAAGCTGCTTAACATTGACCTATGAATTATGCAAGCATAAAAAATGAGTCTAAGTCAAATGATGAATCTGAATTGTGTCTACACATAACAGACACGAACCAATTTCTAGTTGTATCTTGAGGCACTTTATTATTTGCCGCTTATCACAAACTTGTAGTTTGTTCAATTCAATTTTATTTACATAGCACTAAATCACAACAGGTGTCGCCTCAAGGTGCGTTATAGAAATCCCAACAATCAAACAACCCAATTTGAGCAACCACTTGGCAACAGTGGAAAGGAAAAACTCCCTTTTAACAGGAAGAAACCTCTGGCAGAACAAGGCTCAGAGAAGTTTTTCTGCATCACTCTCAGACAGGATGTTTCCAATTTTAAAGAGATGAGGCCTCCAATTTTCCATTTGTCCCCATTTCTTTAGTTGAATCTACAAAAATGCCAAAGACAAATTTTGACAGGTATAAAATAGTATTTTTACAAAAACGTGTTTCCCAAAACACTGGCACTGTTTTAAATTGAGGAAACTGGACAAGAGGAGGACAGAAGAATTGTCCTAAAAATTGTCTACAGCAGATGGAGAGTATCTGAAAGTAATGTCTTAAGTAATGAAGAGCAATCCAGCAAATACCTGACACAAAACCTGAGAGATGCATCTGGACCTTCAGTTGATTGATCTACTGATCACTGAAGCCTCAGCAGAAATGGTCTCAGTGGAAGGGTAGCTGTCAAGAAGCCATTCTTAACGAAGGGAAACCAGGATGAACGGCTGAGGTATGCCAAACTATGTATGTACAGAGGTCAGGAGAGAAATTCACAACAGTAAGCCACCTTGTCAAAACTCATGGAATTATGAATGCAGAATTGTGATCCATCATGCAATACCAGGAATAAAGCATGACAATGATTCCCGAAACGATGCCAATGCAGTGAAACCATACTTGGACAGAAACCACACAATGGGAAACTGCGTCATGGACTGGCCTCCCCAGAGCCCGGACCTCAACATTTTTGGAACAGTGTTGTCTCATCTGGACAGAAAACAAAAGGCAGCCAACATCCAAAGAAGAGACTGAAGAACTTTTCTTGAAGAGAATTTAAAGAAATTACAGAAAAGCTTACCTAAGAGAGTTCAGGCTGTGCTGAAGAATAAAGGCGGTCATAACCTCATTAGAACTGTCCAAACTAAATTACATAATTCAATAACCCGTTTCCACCCATTTTCTATTTTCGTGCAAGTTATGAAGAAATGAGGGATGGCTCAAGAGTCTTACACAGTACTGTGCGCATATGTGCATATAGATATATATATATATATATGTATATATATATAATTGCATATTCATGTTCATGGAAGTATTAATGTGATCTCTGTAGCTGACACTTGTTATATTGACAAACTCACTAAAATTCATGATACTATACATAATATTGTCTTCATTCAGATCGATTCAAGCACCATCATGTTTACTGTGCCCTCCCTCCTGTTCATCCCACTCCTCCACCACCCACCCTGCCACCGATCCAGCCACCTGTGTTAGTTCATTGTAGTTCTAGCTTAAGCCTGTCCCAGTCTGTGTCTTCTAGCTCCCAGTTAACCCCCCGCCCTCCCTATTCCTTCCCTGCCTGCCCCCACCACCGGAGGCCTTCTCTGCAGGGCTCTGTCTGATATGTTTGATATATTAGGTTGTTATTCAGTCCCAACTATATATCAAACATATTCCTACAGTGTCCCGCTCTGTCTACAGACATGTAGTGTGAATGTGTTTGTGTGAAAAGTGTGTGTGCGTATGTGTTTAAAAGAAAAAGAAAAGAAAAAAGCAGATGAGTATAATAGGATGCTTTCTATAGAGTCTTGCTTGATGTTGTTGTATGTAGCTCCTTATCAGCTCTTGCAGTTTGAGAAGAAGCTCTGTATCTGGATGAATCATCATTTTGTTTCTCTTACCAAGTGTCCCAGCCTTGGTCACTGATGATCAATCAAGTCCTGTCTAAAAATGTGCATACAAAATGTTATTCAACAGAGTAATAAATCCAAAGTTCATCTGTTTCCAGTGATAAGTACTTCAGTTTGAGTAGAGGATTAATCAACTTTGATATTTCTTTAAATTTCACCCTGGCGAAAGACTTAATCATTTGAATGGTTCTCTTCTCCCTCAGCAAGCAGACGAGACCCTGAACTTTGAGGAGCAGATCCTAGAGGCAGCTAAATCCATTGCTGCAGCCACCAGTGCTTTGGTTAAATCAGCCTCAGCTGCCCAGAGAGAGCTGGTGGCTCAGGGGAAAGTGGGCTCTGTCCCTGCAAATGCTGTGGATGATGGACAGTGGTCCCAGGGGCTGATCTCTGCTGTAAGTGCTGGAGTGAAAAGTGTTGTTTTACACAGGTTACAATCACATCTGCCAGAAATTAACTTTAAATAAATTAACTTATTTTTTCATGAACAGGCACGTATGGTAGCAGCAGCAACTAGCAACCTGTGTGAGGCAGCTAATGCCTCGGTGCAGGGTCACGCCAGTGAGGAGAAACTCATCTCTTCAGCCAAACAGGTGGCAGCCTCTACTGCTCAGCTGCTGGTGGCCTGTAAGGTGAAGGCTGACCAAGACTCTGAGGCCATGAGGAGACTGCAGGTAAACACAGCAGGTTAATTTAAAAGCGTTGATATGAAGAGGATTAGCGATCATCTTCAATAGCTTTTTACTTTACAGGTGTGCATTTAATTAGAAAATGTTTATGCTCGTCTTTGCACCAGTTAAAAGGAACTGATTGCTTTTAGTCAAACACCGTAGTTTTCTCATCTTGAGCTGCTAGTACTTGTATATTTTTGTTTTTATGTTGTTGTTCTGTTCTGTAAATGATGTATTTGCCCTTTAGATCGCTGGAAATGCAGTGAAGAAAGCATCTGACAATTTGGTGCGGGCAGCTCAGAAGGCAGCATTTGAAAAATCCGATGAAGACAACGTGGTGGTGAAGACGAAGTTTGTGGGTGGAATTGCGCAGGTAATGCTTTTAAGCAGCATTTAATTTTGAAACCAGTTTCTGTTGCATTAAAAAAATTAATCTGTTCATTCTGGTGTGTTTAGCAGTTTTATTGTTAGTGAAATTTGTCCTTCATATCCACTGGTTCACACATCTCTAGTCACCAGCTTTACAAATAATTTCAGTTTCTCATTCTTCAGCACTGCTGGGCAATTATTGATTTGATGCTGCTGAAAAATGCTGACAAGCTATTGAAATGCCCTCTACTTGTTAATTATTTCACGTCTCCTGATGGTTGTCAGTGTTCTCAGAAAAGATTTTTGTCTTCTTCAGTCAATACATGGAATTCAAATCCCCTGTTTTTGTACACAAGTGCATTCACACACATCTTAAGTTAGACCATACAACCAATAAACACACAGAAACATAAGGCATAAAGACACTGAGGTAGTAAATGTTCTAAAAATTGCGATTACATTGCGACAATTACATATTTTGCAGGTTTTGGGTCGTGTGTGTATTAAAAAAGGTTAAAATGATATATGCTCTGACATAAAAGTTTCCTCACTGTCTGTGTAGATCATTGCCGCCCAGGAAGAGATGCTGAGAAAGGAGAGAGAGCTGGAAGAAGCCAGAAAGAAACTGGCCCAAATAAGGCAGCAGCAGTACAAGTTCCTGCCCAGCGAACTGCGAGAGGACAGCAACTAGTTATTCAGCCTCACCTTTGCTGCTACGTACGCTTGCACCAGTGTGAAGAGCACATCTGTTTTTGTGTGCATATTTGTATCCTGCTAATGGCACACCTGGACCGGTACGCCGTCCTCCAGTGAATCCAGATAAGTTGTGACTGATTAACAAACCCAGGTCTGCATTGAACACCACTGACAACATGTAAGGTCATCTTCTAGCACGTATTAAAAACTACTGCGTGATACTGACTACTTTGTGAAAACAACAAAAAGATTGTGGTGATCGCCTGAAGAACTCCTTCATGTCCTAACGTATAACTACTTCAAACTGATGTGATCTAAACCAGAATGTGACATGCTTAGTTCAAACAGCACATGTGCTCTCACGTTTGTTCTTAAGCGCCATTTTTGTAATGTTTAACAATTTGCAGCTCTTGTGCATAAACTTTAAAGTGAAGAACTGATTGTATTGCTGTTCACGTCACATAGCCATTTAACTGCAACGACACCCTGAAAGCAAAAACATTTCTGCTTGGTACTCTGATATTGTATGAATGTTTGCCTGTATACCCCAATCTGGCACCTTAATGTCTGTCTGAATCGTGTAAATCACTGTGGCATGACTTGACTTTAATTCAGTGGCCATAAAACCTAATATGAAGGAAGGCCAGATTTTGCATATGGATGTTTCTTGGGCCATTTCAACAATGAAAGTGTTTTGGGGTTTGTTTTTTTTGTTTTTTTGGCAATCCTCTCTTCGTGTAGAGAGTTACAGTATATAAGCGTCTTTGTTTCCTTTCTTCTCATTTTTATACTCTTTGTTTGCTCCACGTGCAAAACTTCTTTAATGCAACTTGCAGGAAATTCTACGTTTGTCACAACCCTTGACTTTAGGACCTCATGTGCAGCCTCTAAGACTCAAATAGAATGTTTTACATTATGTTACCATGTAAATGCTTTCCTACGCAGGGCATGTTACCATAAAATGGATATTTATTACTCCTGAGTATTTTTAGCAGAGAGGGGTCTCTTTCAGGGTCGCAAACGGTCTCATTTATTTACTACCACTAGCAGAGTCCTGGGTGGCTTCTTGGCAAGATATCAAATATCTTCAAAGACCTTCAAAAGTCTTTTTTTTTTTTTCCCCAATTATTTGTCATTTCAGGTAATGGGACCTATATACAGTATAAACAGAATATGATCATGATGCAATAAGATGGATGGTGCTTTAGGGGGCAGTATTAGCTTCCCTTCTGCCATGTAAACTTAAAGTAATAATCCAGAGCTCTGCCTATACTTTTCGTGCAGAATGGAAAAGTTTGCGTAACCCTGCAGGCCGACTACTACGTAATGCATGTTTGGAATAACTGGAAAGATGCCAGGGATCAGTTGAATTAGCCGAATGCCATGCAGAGTGCCACTTCTATGCATGCACTTTTTCCTGATGATTAGTCCCAACAGATTTACTTTGGTCCTTATATGTTAGTATTTTTTTTTTTCTTTCATTTTTTTCCAGCAAAATTCATCACTGCCAGGGACTGATGTTATTTATCTCCACATTTCTAAATTCGGGAAACAACAAAATTCAGAATCTAAAAGATGAATGAATGAATAAATAAATAAATACACGAATAAATCTTTAACATGAATGGCCTGAAAGTGAAGAGCCTGCAACACTAATCCTTCTCCTGTTCTGGGTGCTCCGTTACTGAACTTGCTATTCGCTGCAATAGAACAACCTTTTGTTTGTAATGTGTTTTGTTCACATGTCTTACTATATGGACTCTGTTTCAATATTACAGTAGATTGTGAGAATAGGTCCTGCTGTGAAAATGCATGGCTTTGTGCTTCGGATGCAGATAGTTTCAGACCTCCACGTGAGACCATCACCTTTAAGTTTGTTTGTTTTGAAGCATTGGAACTGAATTCAGAGACATTTTCTGCCATTGTGTTTTTTTGGGGTTTTTTTTGTGTGAGTGTGAGAAGCGAGGGGTGGGTTCACTGCTTTATCAGTCAAGTCTGTAGTGTTTTTATTAGTGCCTTAGTCCGTAGCCCATACACTGTTTGGTCTGCTTATGTGACAGTTTCACCTCAGTGGTCAATAGAAGGTAGTGGACACGCTATTTTTTTGGTTCTTTTTCTTTTAAATGTAGGTTCATGTCTGTGGATTGTTAACATTTGATTTCCCACTCGCTAGCGTACTGTTCCTCTAAGTGCTGAAAGCAACTGCACCCCCTTTATTTTCCTCTCTGCCACATGCAAGGCCTTTTAGGGATGATGGAGGAACTGTCTGCCAGTCAAAAAAAAAAAAAAGTGTCGTCCTTTAAAATGTATTATCAGTATGCCGTAGATACTGAATATGTATATTACACGGATGAACACATTCCATGGGCATGTACCACAGTGCTTCTAAATGACGACAGACTGGACACGTGAGCCTGTCGACTGCTTTATTGTGTGTTATGAAGTCACTGAAATCTTATGGGTGGGCTTTCTTTCCTTGTGCTTTTAAAACTATGAACGAAACATGTGATAAGAACATTTCGATATATCTGTCACCATTAAGATGTTGTGATTCATTTTCAATGCTGTGGACAATTTGAAGTGTTCTGTATGTTTTGTTTTGGTTTTCGCCCCCTTCCCTTGACAGAAATAAAATTAGGAATTCGCTACAATAAAAGTAAATGATAACATACAATATAAAAGATATTTATCTGGCCTCGATAAAAACTATTTTTTGTATTCACTGAAAATAAAGCATTTCAATGTAATAAAAATGTGTGTGGTTGTTTTACTTGTAATGTGCACGCAGTCAGATCTGCAAGTTTCTGTATAGTTGCAAAACCAAAGAGCCAATATGTAACTGAAATGCAGACTTTATATAGACTATATATATATAGAGAGATGTGTATATATAGAGTGATAGATATAATAAAACTCCACAATTCATGGGAGCGTGCAGCTATATCCAGAGTGCATGAGTGATTGTTACACCATGCAGGGCTTCTGACTTCTAAAATTGCATATAATTTCCAATATTCTTGTAAATAAAAAGAAACTTTTAATACTTAGAATTAACCTCAACTGCTAAAACCTCACATTCGAAACATCTTTTTCGCTGGTATGCTGAAAGTGCAGCTTCCTGGAGACAACTGACACCAAAGTCTGTCCTCAGAAACGGTCCATTTGGGCTTTTAGTGAGGACAAAATTGAAAGAAACTAAAACATTTTGTAAAATGCACTGGATCTCTATTCTCTGACTGTTTAAAGGAAGGTTCAGTAACAATAGAAACATTTGCATTATGAAACAAAAAAATATTTTTTGTGGGCTAAAGTTTGCTCTAGTTTCAATTGTAAAGTACAAGATTATTGTGAAAAGAAACTGAAGTACTGAAGTTACTCCAATTTGTCATATAGCTTGTTGATGGTTTATCTCTGAATATATCTGAGAACTCTGATCACACGTAGATCATTACTGGCTGCCAAGATTGCACTTCTATTCTGGCAAAACCCTCTGCCAATAATAATAATATTTATCTGGAACACACATTGAATCAAAGGCGTCATAAATTAAAATATCTTTAACCAAATTAGGTGAGAATAAGATCGTACGTGTACTTCTTGACCATTAATAATAATTATAATAATAATTTCTAATTTAAACATATCACGTTCAACTTTGACCACGCAGTGTTTAATCCTGTGTGTCAAGAACTCGTTTTAGTGTGTAGTTAAAATGCACTGAGGTTCAGTATCATGCTATATAAGGACTCTACCAGAAGTTTATTACCAGCATACTGTAAGACTTTTATATTGGGATATCATATTTACAGAAAGCAGAATTTAACAGTCTGCTGATAATGTAGAACATCAGATTCATCATGTCTGTTGCATCCATGTGTGATGTTGGAGCTGCAGAATGTGAAACCACTCTAAGTGAATAACAAGAGGGGTAACTTCTGGCGAACAAACAAGGTCTCTTTAAGTGTCTGTGTCAGGACAAGTTGGTATTTCTGAGTCAGCACTAAACCTGACTCTATATTGAGTCTGGACTATAAAATGAAGCCTATGCTAAATTTGTCCAGCACTAAAATTTGAGGAGGCAAAGTCAATTGCAGTGACACAGCTGCTCCTGGCACTGTTTTAAAGCCTGGAGTCCTTTTTTTCCCTGATATTTTCTCACTAAATCAGCTTTTAAAGCAAATACCTCGTGTTTTTCTATCTGGCACAAATCTGAAACTGTGTAGCTGCTAAAACATTTCTGTTAACAGTGGGTCTGACTTGTAACAAGAGGCCCTGTTGGCTGTGGACAAGACAGCAAAAACCCTGGCTGAAAGGACGAGGGCATTGCATTTAATGTGGACAAGCAGGTGATAGAAGACAGCTCATCCATTATTTTTATGTCCTAAATCTAATTATAATTGAAGTCAGCTACAGTTACTGATGACTACAGCATGCTATATAGCAAGTCTTGACGCTTCAGTTGTGCTCAATGTAAGATTACCCGTCGTTAGTTAGCGGTGCCTTGGGGACAAACGGCATCTTGATCTCCTTCTTCTCATCTGCTCTTTCATCCCATCTCTCTACATTCACTACCTCACGTTCACCTTTTCTTTTCAATAAAAAGATTAGGGTCAGATCAGCTGGTTTTTATGGTGTTATTCCACCGATGCACTAAAATGGATTACCGTGATGAGAACGCTGCACACTCATACACACTCCTTCATTTGCACGGCCTCACATGTGAATCTGTCTAAACCCTTTTGATGAGCTTCATTAAGTTTGTCTCACCAGGTTTAAGTGAAACGCCAGCAGTATGTGTGGGTATCTTTTAATTATTGAGGAGGAAGTGAGAAATTCCAGTCTAGACATTCACAGTGATATCATCACCAGACTCCCATATTTTATTATTTTTGTTTGTCAGGGAGCTCCTTACACAGCTGTCTCAACAGATCTGTGACGAAGTTTATATTTGTGGTCTGACACCAAACTGTAAAAACACTGCTGAATACCTTTGGCGTTACAAAAGTACATAAATAAAAGAAGTCAATTACAAGATGGCGCATAAGCCCGTCTGATCTTTCAATCATAGTGCGCTTAGATTTATGAGCGCCTCGCAACAGCAAACAGGTCTTAAGCAATCACCACTTAATGAAATGAAATTGCAGCATTTAAAGTCAAAGGAGCTTGCAAAGAAAAGCATCTGGACTTCTTTAAGTTGCTTGAAGACGTTTCACCTCTCATCCGAGAAGCTTCTTCAGTTCTAAGGTCAAATGGTGGAGAGTCCCAGATATAAACCTAGTGGGAGTGACCCCCCAAAGAGGGACAAAAGGACCACCTGATGATCCTCTAATCGCCTGAGCCAAGGTGTGAAACTGGGTGTGGGTCCCAATCAGCCAGACTCTCCACCATTTGACCTTAGAACTGAAGAAGCTTCTCGGATGAGAGGTGAAACGTCTTCAAGCAACTTAAAGAAGTCCAGACGCTTTTCTTTGCAAGCTCCTTTGACTACGATGACCTGGATGACTGAGAACCTTCACAGACATGCAGCATTTAAAGTTCACATGCGGCTCTTCACAGGACTGCGACATAATGGTAACAAGGCCATGCACTTCTTTGCATGTAGGGACTTCTGGAAACACTGAGGTTTGATTCAGTTATCATACCTGT